GCACCAGCTAGAGATTTTAAGATCATTTCCCCGAATGTTTAGGTAAGCTTTCATTGTGAAACAGGCTCATCATTTATTATATTTATTGAGAGATAAATGTTTTTATTAAAAAAGCTTGTATAGCATTTTTAAAAACAACAACAATTTAAGTTGGTAGCCCTATTAAAAGTCAGTGAAAATAAGCAATTAGTAGAAGTCCATTTTTTATGCTTACTCTTACTCATTTATTGATTCATTTGGTTTAATAGCTATTGAATGAATGCCTGTTATGCATCAAACACTGTCATAGACCTCAGGTATATAGTAGTAAACAAAATAGGTATAGAATTAAATAAACTGATAGAGGGGTTGAGACTTAATAATAGTCTGTCTTTTTTTTTTTAAATATATATTTTATTGATTTTTTACAGAGAGGAAGGGAGAGAGATAGTTAGAAACATCGATGAGAGAGAATCATCGATCAGCTGCCTCTTGCACACCCCCTACTGGGGATATGCCCGCAACCAAGGTACATGCCCTTGACTGGAATCGAACCTGGGACCTTTCAGTTCCCAAGCCGACGCTCTATCCATTGAGCCAAACCGGATTCGGCAATAGTCTGTCTTTTTAATTGGTTAGTTTAACCTTTACATTTATTTTAATATATTAGGAGTTATTTCTATTCTTGTTTTCCATTTATTGTGCTTTTTCTTTTTATTCTATCACCTTTTCCTGTCTTCCATTGGATATCTCAAATATTTGTTAGGTGCCTCTCTATTGCTGATTGGAAGTTACATATTCTACTTATATTCTCCTATGGTTTCTTAAGACCCAGTATTTATTTTCACATACATAACTAAAATTTACCAATATCCATGTCTTTTTCCAGGCATAATCTTACCTCCCGTTAGCCTGTACTTCTAGCGCCCCCCCTCCCCGCTCCCCCCCCCCCCCCCCCCCCCCCCGCCTGTGGAGGGTTTAGGGGGGGAAGCTGGCCATCATGCCTGGTTTGCCATTTGGATCTGAACCTGACCTGGGTGGCTGGATGCCTAGTTTTGAGCTGCATCCGAGCCGTGGATCTGTTTCCTATTAGAGGAAACAATTTGGGGGACATATCTAGATATTGAGATTTTTATTAAAAAATTTACTTTGAGGAGGCTTTCAGGAATTATGGCCTTACCATAAAATTTAAAAGTAAAAAAATTGAAGTTTTCCTTTCTTTCTTTCTTTCTTTCTTTCTTTCTTTCTTTCTTTCTTTCTTTCTTTTTTTTAAAGCTGAACGTAGACCCTTGAAATAAAAATTTATGGAGAAATTTACTGAGTGGTAAGAACCTGGAATTGTAAATGCATGTACATTTCCCAACTTGAGCTAAAAGTTACCGAACATTTATGTGCCAGACATGGTGCTGGACACTTTCATATAACTCTCTCATTTGATCCTAAAAAAAAACCTGTAAGCTAGTTGAAATTTCCCTTTACACAAGAGGAAATGGAAGCTGCGAGGTCTTCAGAGACTCTCCCGGACCCCGTATTCAGGCTGTGCCCACATCATGCCTGCACCTCTAGACTCTGTCCAGCGCCCGGTTCCAGAGTCAGTCGAGGCTGTCCTTGGACACAAGCTTATCTGGATCTCTGGCTTTGTGCCCGCCCTCTCATGTTCATCCTCTACACGCTGGCCTGATGTTCAATCTCAAATGCCAATCTGCCCTGTCTGGAGGAAACAGCCTGACTTCACTATCTGTCGTCCTCCTGAGTGGCCCTGTGTAGCTCCTCAGCCTTGTTCTGGCAGCTCCCTGCCTTTTCCGTTAGGGCCCCGCAGAACCAAACTGTCTGGAGCCCTCATTACCTTCAATGCATTCTTAAATGCCTTGTATGTATGAAGCAGCCTGCTAGCTATAGAGCAGACAAGAGCTGTTTAGTGATCCAGATGGGGGAGGTCTAGACCCTGGGCAAGGATATGGCATGGGATGGAGAGAAGTGACACACTCATCAGATGGTGAGGGGAAAGAATCAATAGGACTCTGTGTGGAAAAAAAGCATTTTGGACATCACCCCAAAGTGCAGCTGGAATGATGGTGAACTGAAAGTCCATACAGAAATGAGAATGTTACACCTGAGAACATTTGGTAGGGAAACTTAGGGAGTCCCATGTATGCTAGAAAGAGCCCTGTGCTGGGAACGGGAAATGGCGTTTTGATTTTGACAAGCTATGTGGCACTGGACAGTCCCTTTGTCTCCGCTAGGCCTGAGGCTTTTATCTGAACTAGAACAGAGGACATTAGCTTTGCCACTTTAAATAGTGAGCCCTTCTCACACCATTCCAGCAAATTCTCTGACTTTAGCTTCCACTCCATTCTGTGTCAGACGTCCATTTGTCTACTCAGCGTTCGGAGCCTGAGGGTAGGTCTTTGGAGCTTCCTGTTCCTGAGTTTCCTCTCAGTCCCAGACAAACGGGTCAAACCAAAATACATTGCTATGATGGAAGCCTGAGCCAGGGTCAGGGCGTCACAGAAGAGATCCCGCTCCGTTCTGGAGGTGGGTGGGGAGGGGAATGTGCCGGGAACACCAGTGACCCTTGCCCTGAGTCTGGAATGAAGAGCAGGCAGAGTGGGTGGGGAGCAGCATTCCACACCAGCCGGCTGCTTCTGGATGGCCGCAGGGAGACCCGGATGCTGGGGGTGGGGAGGCAGGAGGAGGGCACAGGAATTCGGACTTAGTTTCTGAAGCTGCAGGGAACAGCAGAAGCAATACAATTACATCAGTAGTGTTCATGTTTATGCCTTTTTATACCAAATGTATTTCCTTCACAATACCGCTAATAACGGTAGGCAAGCTAGACTTTGGGGCAAAGAACAGTATTTGAAATAAAGGCAGTTCTCACATCCTGATAGAGCAGTTCACCAGGAAGATACAGTAATCCTGAACATAATCTCAAGAGTAAAGCACAACTTAAGAAGGAAAAATGGAAAAAAACACAAAGCATGAGAGTTTTTAACAAAAGAAAAAAGGAAAAAGTCCGCTCTTAAAACCTATTGGTTTAGCAGTCAAAGAAATTAGCAAATGCATAGAGAAGTTGAACAAAATAATCAACAAAGTTGATATAATGAGCCCTAGCCCCAAAGTTAAATAGTGTGTTCAAATATTTCACATCCACAGGAAGAAATACTTTAAAAATCATGATCTGTCGAACACATATGTATGTACCAGAAACAGAATTTCATAAAGTATTTCCCTACATGGTGCAATTTTTCATGGTGCATTCAGTTTTCTGTTCTATTCTGTTGTATTGCTGTTAATACTAATTTCATACAAAATTGATTTCATGATCCACTCATGGATTGATAGCCCTTTTCCTTGAAAACACTAAGTTAAACATATGCATGCTTTTGTACACACATAGAACATTTACAGATTGACTTTCTGAAGTCCTTCACACCAAGCCTCTGCTGCCTCTCTGTTCGTCTAGCAAAGCTGACTTTGACTCCTATTTTTACTGGGTCAAGGCCATCCAACACACCATCTGCTTTTCTTCTCCATTTCTATCTTTAGTCTTTCATCTTTGCTACTAGACTTAGAAAAAGTGGTATCCTTCCTTTTCAAAGGTTAACTTTTACACCTGGAATTTTACTGTCATCATCTTCTGTTTTCTTTTCCTCTCAAATCTCTGGTTCTTACATCTAGACATTTGTCCTTGATCATCCCACCATGAATTCAGTCTTAATGGGTTTAACTGGTTCTCTTTTTGAACCTCAAATATTATCAGTAACTATTGTTTTTAGTCTTTATACCACAAAACTTGGTAATTATTTTAGTTTTTTCTAGTTTTTAATCCTCACCTGAGGATATTTTTCCCATTGATTTTTAGAGAGTGGAAGGAAGGAAAGAGGAAGAGGGAGAGGAGAAGGGAGAGGGGGGAAGCGGAAAAGGAGGGGTAGAGAGTGGAGACGGAATGGAGGGAAGGAAGAGGTAGAGGGAGGGGAGTGGGAGGGAGAGAGAAAGAAAGAAAAGAACATCCATGAGAGAGACATGTCAATTGGTTGTTGCCTCCTGCAAACACCACAACCGGGGCCAGGGATTGAACCTGCAACCTATTGAACTACCATTAATGTTACATTTATGTCCATGTTGCCATCTGGGTTCCACAAGAGAATGAAGCCCTAATGTCCTCAGACTTAATGAATTAACTTCTCTCTATGTGTCTAGATTGGCACAAGTTATTTGGGAAAATTGAGAAAACAGTCAGACACATATTGTTTTGTTTGTGGTTCAGATGAGGAAGCCTGACCGGGATGCCTGCCTCACACCGGGCACTCAATACTCGTTCCTGTTGTTTTTGCCCTGGAATTCCCATAAGAGCACTGGCTGGCTGGATTTCTTTGCTTGGTGTAAGATTCTTGGGGAAAGGTTATTCTCCAGACTGGGATCAGTAAGTGGGCATCTATACGGCGGTTTCTCAGCGTTGTCTCTGGATTTGGGACTAGCTGTGACTATAGGACTGCCGTTGTCTCTGTTGTCTTGTAGTGCACCGGCCCCTCCCCCCACTGCAGGACGCCAGAGTGCTGCCCCCTCTGAGCCGAGTTTCAGAATGTCAGTTCTTTCCCCAAACTGCCCTTAGACAGAAGCTTATTCAGGCTTTGATTGAACGCTTTTTCAAAAATTGCTTGATGCGCCGGCACCGGTTTGGCTCAGTGGATGGAGCATCGGCCTGTGGATTGAGGGGTCGTGGGTTCGATTCTGGTCAAGGGCATGTACCTTGGTTGCGGGCACATCCCCAGTGGGGGGCGTGCAGGAGGCAGCTGGTTGATGATTCTCTCTCATCGACGTTTCTAACTCTCTATCCCTCTTTCTTCCTCTCTGTGAAAAATCAATAAAATATATTTAAAAAAAATTGCTTGATGGTAATGTATTCAGTTCTGGGTGTCCATAACTGCTGTCCTTGGACATTGGTCAGATTTTCCTATACTGTTTTAATTTGTTTTCTGATGAATATTTTCTCATGATTGTTTCTTCTTTTATTTTAGCTACTGATCTACTTCTTGCCTGGAATCCCATTTGCTTGGGTTTGGTAGAAGGTGTTATTGGGAAAATTCAGCTTCATTCAGGTATGTTTCTGTAAACTCCGTAAATTTGTCAAACTTATTGTGCCATTTTGACATTTTTTTCTTTGAGGATAAATGTAGATTCTGTTAATGGCTTTGATTCCTTTGCCTTAATTTTGAGTCTGTTCAAAGTGGTTATGTTGCCATATAAGTTTCATGAAATAAAAATAAAACTTTAGAGAAAAGGGAGGTATAATATTTACAACCCTTTCTTCCTCTTAAAACACAGCACTCCTCAAACGCCTAGCACGTGCCAGGAATCATGCTAGTTGGCAGAACGCAGTAGTGAGCAAAACCTGACCCATTCTCACCCTCATGGAGCTTATAGTTTGGGAGAGAAAACAGACATCGGAAAATAATCAACAACAACAAAAAAAAGTATAATTATTTGATAATGATGGTAGGTGCTCTGATGGAAAGATCTCCTTTGAAATCAGTGCAGTTGGGAGGATAGGAGAGTAGGAATAAGGCTAGAGAGGTAGGCAGGTGGCAGACCAGGGCTGTTGTTGGCTTTGGGTCAGCTGTCCATTCCTGATCCAATTAACTGGCCAGGGGAGAGTGTGGGTTTCTTAGTACAGAGTGTGGTCCTTTTCGGGGGCCCTATCCAGGGCAGACAAATTGGTGGAAGGTCTAGGTCAGGGGTCTGCAACCTTTAAGACATAAAGAGCCACTTGGACCCGTTCCTGAAGGAAAAAAAACCCTGGGAGCCGCAAAACCATTGCAACATTTAAAACAATATAACACTGCATATATTGTTTCTTACCTTAATGCTTTATACCGGATCGTGCAGTTAGCTGTCAATCTGAAGACAAAAAGGACCTTTTCACTTAACAATGTAAAATATATTTTTGCAAATTAATAGCTAATTAAAATACTTAATTTACCTGGTTAATGGGATTTTTGCTCCTGAACCTCAGTGCACAGTGTCAGCACATCAGGGCTGTAAGACGTTACCTTCATTTTCACTCAGGCTTGCAAATTGTCGGAGCCGCGGTAAAGCTTCAAAAGAGCCGCATGCGGCTCTGGAGCCGCAGGTTGCCGACACCTGGTCTAGGTTCTTCAGCAGGCCCCGTCTTGGAAGGACAAACACGTGTGCCCTGGGTTCAGAGGAAATGTTGTTTGTCTGCAATCACACATTTATTTTCTCCCAGTTCTGGAGGCTGGAAGGCGGAGATGAGGTGGCATCAGGGTTGGTTTCTCCTGAGGCCTCTCCTTGGCTGGAGATGCCATCTTCCCCGGTGCCGTCACCTTTCTCCTCAGTGTGCCGGTGTCTCTGGTTTCTGTGTGATGCTGGGGAAACAGCTGTATCCTCACACAGCTATCCCTGAGAAGATGCTTTTGGCTGGAGACTTTAGTGGATCACAAAAGCGCTTTAAATTGAAATTATTTTGAAGATTAAGACAAGGATAAGCTCTGTTGGGGTAAGAAATAACGGAATATAAAAAGCAAAAGTATATATTTCACGATAGATTCAGAAATAGTTTGAAAATTGTCAAAACCTTGATTAATTTGGCAATAGAGAGGCTCTTGATGTAGTGATTAGGGGAATTACTACAAGTGGGATTGAAGTCACAGACAGTTCATCAGCGGGCTCTCATTAAAGCAGTGCTTGCCATCTGCCTGCTTCTCCTTTGAAGTGGAGATGTCTCGGTGGCTGACATGTGAAGTGGATTGTGCACAGGGTTTAGTGTGTAATTTCAGTCCTCTGCGGCCCACGGAGACTTCCTGCTGTGACACCAAGGACATGAAATACTTTACATGTTTCAGTGATGAATGGGGCGACACTAACATTGCTTTATTCTTTTCTACAAAGCCGTTAGCAAACCCCGTCCTCAAGGCACAGGAGAGGGGGGCCAGGAGCCTGTGGAGCTCGGCCTCTGCTGCAGGCCTGGCTCTCGGGAGGGACTGCCTTTCCATAACGCTCTGTCTCAATGAGAGCCTTTGGTGTGGTTTGCTGACTGGTAAACGTGAGCATTAGCAATGATAATATGAATTTAAAAAGTCATTTAGCCAAAACTGGTTTGGCTCAGTGGATAGAGCATTGGCCTGCGGACTGAAAGATCCCAGGTTTGATTCCGGTCAAGGGCATGTACCTTGGTAGCAGGCTCATCCTCAGTGGTGGGGATGGGGGGGTGGTGCAGGAGGCACCTGATTTCTCTCATCGATGTTTCTAACTCTCTATCCCTCTCCCTTCCTCTCTGTAAGAAAATCAATAAAATATTATTTTTTAAAAAGTCATTTAATCCTCACAGCTACTCTCTGCAAGAGGCAGTCTGGTCCACTGCACAGAGCAGTTCAGTATCGTGCTGCCACGTACACGGAAATTAGGGATGGAGCTAGAATTTGAGCCTGAGTTCTGACCTCAAAGTTTAGAACATGGAAGCCGCCTTGAAACGGGAAAGTTACTATTTACAAAATTTCTTCTCTGGCTTCCGCCGCGGCAGCCATTGAGGAGAGCAGCAGCCATGGCTCTGCGTTACCCCATGGCCGTGGGCCTCAACAAGGGCCACAAGGTGACCAAGAACGTGAGCAAGCCGAGGCACAGCCGCCGCCGCGGGCGCCTCACCAAGCACACCAAGTTCGTTCGGGACATGATCCGAGAGGTGTGTGGCTTTGCCCCCTACGAGCGTCGTGCCATGGAGCTGCTCAAGGTCTCTAAGGACAAGAGGGCCCTGAAATTCATCAAGAAAAGGGTGGGGACACACATTCGCGCCAAGAGGAAGAGAGAGGAGCTGAGCAACGTCCTTGCAGCCATGAGGAAGGCAGCAGCCAAGAAGGACTGAGCCCCACCCCATCTTTATAATAAAACCTGTTCAGAAAAAAAAAAAAAAAAATTTCTTCTCTGATGAGATCATTTGTGTTACATTTTGTCAGATTTCTATTTTCTTAAAAAATTTTTAATTGAGATTTTTAGAGACAGAGAGAAAGGGAGATAGATAGGAACAATGATGAGAGAGAAACATCATTGATTGGCTGCCTCCTTCACGCCCCACACTGGGGATGAGCCCGCAACCCAGGAATGTGCCCTGACCAGGCATCGAACCAGCAACCTCATGGTTCACAGGTTGATGGTCAACCACTGAGTCACACTGGCCGGGCAAGGATTTATTTTAATTCAATAAAATGTATTGTGACATTCTAAAGTATATTATGTTTTATGTGTTTTGTTATGTGTTAGTTTATTGTGTGTTAGGTGCTTGGTAACCTTGATTCATGCCTTCCCAGCACATGGTAGGTTCTTGGTTAATGTTTAATGATAATGAATAATGAAATGGCTTATAAAAGCTTGAAACTTCGGAGTAGATTTCCACCCTACTTTATAAAGAATTATAAAACTTTCAAACTCTTGCATTTATTGAAATGCCTAAAAAAGCACATCTTCAAAGCACTGTTCCTAATACGAGAGTTGATTTATATTTGGAAGAAAATATTATCTTACTTTTTTATTTTCCCCTATCTGATGGGTAAAAATGGCATTACTCTAATGAATGAGTGAGATTAAATACGCTTTCACACATTTAAGGGCCATTTTTATATTTTGTTGTGTTCTTTAAAGGCTTATATCTGATGCACGTTGTGGATTATTCACCTCCAGCCTCCCAGGAGAGTAGTGCTTTATAGAGACTAGACATTAATAATGACTTTTCCGTTTCAGATTTTCCCTGGTGGCTTATTTTAATTCGGCAGAAAGCACTGGTGGGCAAACTTCCAGGAGACCATGAAGTCTGTAAAGTTACCAAAATTGCTGTGCTGTCACTTTCTGAAATGGAACCTCAGGATCTTGAGCTAGAGGTATGGTACTGTCTCAGGAAATTTTTTGGAAACGTGATATGAATATAATAGCAATTGTGAGGATTTGGCTTAATAGACCAGAATCATACAATGTTAGACATGGGTAATATCTTTAAAATAATTTAACCTTATGGTTTTCAAACTCCATTTTAGTACTGGGAACTTTGTTTCCAAATCGGTGAAATCCAGTATATGAGATGCATCAGGTCAGAGCTGCTTTGGTTGAGGTGGTGATGGGGAGTGGGCATGTGCTGTGAACATTAATGTCCAAATTGTTGGCGGGCATTACTTTTCTCTTGGGTACATACCTAGCGATGAAATTGCTGCGTCGTGTGGTAACTCTGTGTTTAATCTTTTAAGGAACTGCCAGGCTGTTTTTCAAAGCAGTGTGCCATTAAAAAAAAAATCTAGACAAGGGTATGAAAAATCTGTGGGGTCCAAGTAAATGAGAACATAGGTGCTCTTTCTTTTGGGGAAAAAAAAATCCTTTAAAGTTTTATAGGCTTGATGTTCCATGTCTGCATATCGTATTTGCTGTATCTCATTGCCTTCATAGATAACTGCATCATTTCCCATATTTAGTTTCCCATCAGACATCTGTTTAAAATTTTAGCTGCAGATGGACATAGATAGATGCTAACTTTTAGAGTAAAAATCATGTGTTTTTATTTTCTGAGACGGCAGCCACACCTGCTCTTGATCCTGGCGATGAAGTATAAATTGGTGGAGTAATAGAAAATATCGGGGAGCATCGTAGGGCTGGGCGTGGTCTTCTTTGCGAGAGCATGTGTGTCAGGGCTGTGGTAAAGGCCTGCGCACACGCGCACAGACCTGGCTGGGCCTCTGGAAAAGGGAAGGTGATCCACGCTCCCACGATGAGTTGTGATCCCAAGAGCTCGGTCTGACAGCGCCTTTAGGGCGGGAGAGGGTCTCAGATGTCATGTTCTCTGTCCACACTTTGTGGGGGGGCTTCATGGAACCTTTTCAAAAAGTTAGTGGTCTGTACTGTTTTCTAAAGGTAACTGTGTGGAGGATTCTAGAATATTCATTGAAAATGTTTATGTTCAAAGTAATTTTAGACTTCTGTTTAGAAAAATCAGTTGTAAGGACAGAGATAGACTTCTAGAGAAGATGGTGTAGTGTTTGTGCTTCCCTATACAGGTCACAGTGGTTATCGTTGGGGCCGTATTTGTTTTAGAGTTCAAGTTTTGATTTTAGAGGGTGGGCAGTGATTGAGGTTATTCCATGTATTTTATGTATGCCCTGTGAGTCTGAGGTGTTATTCCACAATACAACATTAATATTTCTTAAAGAACCAATCAGGAGAATATTCATATAAGGGAGGTAGCATCATGTCAGTTTAGGGTACATTTTGGCATGTTGTAAATGAGTGGTAATTTAAAACATACTAGCATAATTTCAGGTTTCAGAATTGTTTGGGTGTTGGAGTTGTTGATAAGAAGGGATATCGGGCCCAAGGCCAGGAAGAGGTTAGATCACCAAAAGAAAGAGAGCCCTGACCTTGTGGCCCAGTTGGTGGGTGTCGTTCCACGCACGAAAAGGCTGCTGCTGTGATTCCCCGGGCAGGGCACGGGCCCGATTGCAGGCTGGGTCCCTGCCCGGGGTTGTGCAGGAGGCAGCCAATGGATATTTTGCTCTCACATCAATATTTCTCTCTCTCCTGCCTTCCTTTTGCTCTAAAAAAAAAAACCAATCAGTAAATAAAAAGAAAAATGAATAAGATAGCGCTAGGCCTGGAGAGAAGTGGCTTCATGGGCCATAAACAGAACAGTAGTTTGAGTAGGGCCATAGGCCTCTGGACTTTGGATCCATCTTCTTCCTCACCTTTGCCAGCTGGCCCTCACATTTCTGGAAGCCCCTGCATGCTGCTGCTTCACATTTAATCTCGACCCAAAGAGTACGTTTTTGTTGGTCTTGTTAGTGCGTGAGGATAGGAGGAGAGGAAGCAGTTGGCGTGTCCAGCTTTTGAGATTCCCAGTAGAGCAGACTCTTGACATGTTCTAAACCAGAACGCTCAGTTCACTGGCATGAATGAATATTTAGCACAGACAGCTGTGAATTAATGCCCTTCGAGCACAGAAAATGTGCATTTTGCAATATTTAAAATTTTAGATGCCCATTTTTAAAAGCAGTAATTAACCTCAGCTGGGGCATTTTATTTTTCAGTTATATTAACTATAATTATGATCCTCAGCTGAATTTTCCATGCCTAAATCCTGAGTAGATCCTGTCCTGTAATATTTGCTTGCCGTCGGCTATAGCTTGCTAATCACTGAGAGCACCCTGTGTTTGCTATGACCAGTCGTCTGCTTGGTCGTTTTTCTAACTCCTGAGGTTTACTTTACTTTGAACCGCAGGGCATGAGCGGCAGCATCCACCTCTGTACTCACACTCGAACATTTAGCAAGAGATATTAATAATAATGAATTCTTTCTCTCTCCCTCTTATTTAGCTCTGTAAGAAGCATCATTTTGGAATTAACAAACCAGAGAAGATTATACCATCCCCTGATGACTCAAAGTTTTTACTGAAGACCTTTACGCATATTAAGTCCAATGTATCTGCTCCTAATAAAAAGAAAGTAAGCAAAATCAGTCAGAGAAAGACAAGTATCACATGATCTCACATGTGGAATCTAATGAACAAAATTGATACAGAAACATAGATGCATAGAACAGACTGTGGAATCTCGGAGGGAAGGCGATGGGGGGCAGGTGGGTGAGAAGAGATCAACCAAAGAACTTGTGTGCATATCTGCGCAACCCAAGGCCACAGACAGTGGGGTGGGGAAGGCCTGGGGCGGGGCTGGGGGCGGGCTAGAAGGGGTCAATGGGGGAAAAAGGAGGAACATTTGCAATACTTTCAACAATAAAGATTTAATGAGAAAAAAAATTTAACTGATACGGGCTTGGAGTTCATTTTTCATTAGGTCAAAATTGAGGGGCAGTTTCCTGCCAGGGAACTTCCTTTCAAACCACCTGCCACATTCCAGCGCTGTCTCTGATGCCCTGGGATCAGCTTCGCTGCTTTCCCAGGAAGGCGTGTATTACCCACACAGGCTGTCCTCACCTTCCCTTCCTGCGGTGATGGGAGATTCGTCTTTTGCAGGTTAAGGAAAGTAAAGAAAAGGAGAAGTTGGAAAGGAGATTACTTGAAGAGTTGCTGAAGATGTTCATGGACTCGGAATCCTTTTACTACAGCTTGACCTACGACCTGACCAACTCAGTGCAGAGGCAGAGCGCGGCGGGGAGGGACCCCCGGCCCCTCTGGCAGAAGGTGCCTCTCGGGGCTCCGGGCGGCGTCTGCCTCCGGGCAGCTTACGGGCTTGTTCGGCTTTATCGGAAAACAAACAAGGTTTCTGAAATGTTTATTCTCTACCCTTTCCAGGTTGATGATCGATTCTTTTGGAATAAATATATGATACAAGATCTTATTGAGATTGGTGTGAGTAGTTGTTTTCTAAAATATTCTAAGATAATTATAGTTAAGCAAATATTTTAAAAATTGTCTTAAAATCTGTAATGTTTTTCTGTATAGAATGGGAATCAGTTAGCCAGGGAAAGCTAAGGCGTTTGGTATTTTAAGGCAGCTCACAATGCCATTGCTCAGCCACAGGCCTGCCTTTTTTTAGCAGGCTGCCATAGGTAGTAGTCCCTGAAGACTGGGGAACTAATGTCCTCAGAGTTCCTATAAAAGAGGTCATTTGTTTACCCAGTGGAAATGTTGAAGCCCAATTGTCCTTAAACAATATCACATTTTTTAACTTTCCTGTTTCCTCATCTGGACAGATCTCCAAGGACATTCTATTATTGCCAGTATTTGAATCTGGGAAGATAGGGAATATGATGAGGTTACTGAGATTTGGTGATTACCGTCTTTCTTTACTCTGTCATATTATGCTGGAGAATGATGACTGTCCAAAGACAACTAATTAATTTACTCAGTCAATCAACAGATATTTATTTGTGGAAAACCTACTATGTGCCAGTTACTGTTTTGGACACAAAGTGGGCAAATAGTTGATTAGGATCATATATTATCTTGTTCTTAGCCTTTCAAAAATCTCAAACCTTTTGTCCTGGCCAGTGTGGTTCGGTTGGTTGGAGTGCTGTCACCTACACAGAAAGGTCTCAGGTTTGATTCCTGGTCAGGGCACATTCCTAGGTTATGGGTTCGATCCCTGGTTGGTACATATAGAAGAGGCAACCAATTGATATCTCTCTGTCTGTCTCTCTCCCTCTCCCTCACTCCTTCCTTTCTCTAAAAAATAATTAATAAACAAACACATCCTCAGGTGAGGATTAAATAAGCATATTATTTTAAAAAAATGTCAAACCTTTCTTTTTTTCTATTTCTCTTCCTTGGTGGGAGTTAGTAGGTAGATAGTGCCTACCACTAGCTATCATGTCTCAATCGAGAAAGAGTTCTGACCTCTTTATGATGCTGAAACTGTGACCACGAAAACTCTGAGGCAGGGTTAGCAGTAAGCGTGTGTGGAATGAAAATCTGTCTTGCTTGCTGACATATGGAGCTCTATGTTTTGCAGAGTTATTTTGTATTACCATTTAAAACCTATGACTTGCAATAAAGGTGGCATTTGGCAACATACATTTCTCTGTTCCTGCCAAGAGCTTTGCATTTTTTGCTATAAGGGGAAAAATACAAATAATGGGAATGATGATAAGAATAATGGAGGCAGGTAGACCCTTTACTATTTTCAAGCACCTTTCCAAGATCTATCTGCAGGTTCCATAAAACAACACTATGAGCTAGGACCTGGACTGGGTGGTTATGCGAGAAGAGATTGTTGGGAGTAGTTATGTTCTAAAATAGGGTTTGAAGTTGATGCTGAGATCAGGGCTAGATCTGATTATGGAGACAGGAGAGAAAGAGGGACTAAGAACAACTCTTTGGGAAGCTTTTTATATTTTACTGTTTATCCTTTACTATTGCTAATAGTTACTGTAAGCAGGCACTCTGCTAAACACCTTTTACATTTTACTCATTAATCTTCATAGCAACCTTATAGGGTAGTATCATAGTTTTCTTGTTTTTCAAAGCAGAATGTCCAGGCACTGGTGAGGTGCAGTGACCCCCCTGGGTGAGTTAGTAAGTGGTGGAGCTTGAATTTGGACCCTGCTGTCTGGCTCCTATGGTGTGGTCCCTCTCGGGCATTTCTCTTTTGAATGATTATCCTACCTAAGAAAAGAGTAATATGCAAATTGACTGTCACTCCAACATACAAGATTGCTGCCCCCATGTGGTCAAAGATGGCTGCCATAAGATGGCCAGCAGAGGAGGGCAGTTGGGAGGGACTGGGCCTGCAAGGGAGGGCAGTTGGGGACAATCAGGCCTGCAGGGGAGGGCAGTTAGGGGTGACCAGGCTGGCAGAGGAGGGAAGTTGTGGGCAACCAGGCATGCAGGGAAGGACAGTTGTGGGGGACCCAGGCCTTCAGGGGTGAGCAGTTAGGGGCAATCAGGCTGGCAGGGGAGCAGTTAAGCATCAATCAGGCTGTCAGGGAGTGGTTAGGGGTTGATCATGCTGGCAGAATCAGTTAGGGGCAATTAGGAAGACAGGCAGGTAGGCAAGCAGTTGGGAGCCAGCAGTTCTGGATTGTGAGAGGGCAGTCGGACATCCCTCGAGGGGTCCCAGATTGGAGAGGGTGCAGGCTGGGTTGAAGGATCCCCCCACTCCGTCCTGTGCACTGGACCTCTAGTTATAAAGAAAAGGAAATGCTCTCTATTCCACGTGCACTCCTCCCTCCACTCCTTCGTGTTCTCCAGTGAGCAGAGAATACGGTTAAAGAAGTTTCTAATGAACTAACACATATGTGCCGGCTCCTGTTTGGGGTTAAGAAGGTAGCAGTGCTGTGCAGCATAGAAACAACGTGATGTTCCTGTTGTTTTCAGTCACCAGATGTGGACTACTGGATCATTCCCATTATCCAAGGTTTTGTGCAGATTGAAGAACTTGTGGTAAATTACAGCGAGTCATCGGACGATGAGAAAAGCAGCCCAGAGACCCCGCCCCAGGAGTCCACCTGCGTAGATGACATTCACCCACGGTTCCTAGTGGCTCTCATTTCTCGTCGCAGTCGGCACAGAGCAGGTGTGTGGAGGGCTGATCACATGCAGATCAAATCCAGGCCAATGGGAGTCCTGGGGGGGCGTTGAAATGTGATGGCCATATGGCTCTGGAAGCACAGTCCATTTCAGTGCTCACTGTGTAGTGTGACTGGGGACCAATCATTGGATAGAGGCGAACTGGGAAGAGTTAACAAAGGGAGAAGGAAGAGGAGAAAGTCACTGGGATGAGCTTTAAAATACCATTGTTCCCACCATCACCAAACACTTCCTGAGGGCGAGGGCCTTTGAGAAAATCATCCTTGCTTTCAGTGCATAGGAGCTCTGAGCTTCAGTTCGTAAAAACCATGATTTGGGATAAGTTGATCCAGTTCTGCCTGGCAGTTGCACATTAGATCCCTAAGGCTATACTGAAAGAGAGAAGCATGATTTTTTTTAATGTTGCTTTTTTTTTTTTTTTGCTTTGTTTTAGGAATGCGCTATAAACGACGCGGGGTGGATAAAAATGGAAATGTTGCAAACTATGTGGAGACTGAGCAGCTGATTCACGTCCATAACCACACCTTGTCATTTATTCAAACGCGAGGCTCTGTGCCTGTCTTTTGGAGCCAGGTTGGCTATCGATACAACCCAAGGCCTCGGCTGGACAAGAGTAAGCATGCCCCTTATTTGATTTGCAAATGATGATATCAGATAGATATTAGGTACTTTATAGATCTGGATTTGCTTTGCCAGATGCTTTATTCAAAACAATAACTCATACAGTGAAATTTAGTAGAAAGTGATTATAAACACTAAGAGCAATAATGGTTGTTGACAATTTAAGTAATTTAACAATTAAAAATTCCCCAACAATAGAGCAAAACAGCTTATTGTACATTTTAAATTCTTGATTTTTTGAAGAATACTTTGCTGGATGCTTAATTTTGGAAAAGGGTAAATGAAGCCAATATTTGTAGAAGGAGGAAGTATCTTAAGATGGCATTTATAATACAAGATGCCTTTATTGAAATGCCTCACTGTGAAGTGTTTGTTATTGTTTAAATTATTGATAAGGTAATTTCTTTTTGTAATTTAACTTTTTTTTTTTTTTTTTTTTTTTTTTTTTTTTAGCAATCTTTATTGTTCATATTATTACAAAGGTTCCTCATTTCTTCCCCCCTCCACCAGGTTCCCACCCCACCCTCCGTCCCCCCCCATCCCCCATTGTCCTCATCCATAGGTGCAGTTTATGTTCAGTCTCTTCTTCCCTCAATTTCCCCAATAGTAAATCCCTTTTCAGATAGTAAATCAGTTACTTAGCATTTTCTCATATCAATAATACCTCCACATGCCCAATGATACACTTCACACAAAAGACATTTCCCACTAGGTCAACCAGCCTCATCTAGGCCCCACCCAAGGCACTCACAGATCAACACCCCAATCCTAAACTAACTCAACACATCCAGATCTAAGCCTTCATCACTTGATTCAGCAGACACTCAAGTTCCCACGAAAGTTTCCATCCATGTCTGAGAAGCAGCCGTGGGGCAGGGGCAGGCAAGGAGCGAGCTGTTCTGGGCCTGGCTGCTCAGGGCTTGGCCTCTGTTGCTCTGGTTCATTCCACAACCAGCTGCTCCGGGTCTGGTCACTGCCGCTCCCAACCTAGTTGCTCTGGACTTGGCTGCTGCTGCTCCGGGCCTGGCCGCTCCCAGCCTGGCCGCCGCTGCTCCGGGCCTGGCCGCACCCGACCCGGCTGCTCCCCCGGGCCTGGCCGCTCCCAGCCTGGCAGCCGCTGCTCCGGGCCTGGCCGCACCCGACCCGCCTGCTCCCCCGGGCCTGGCTGCTCCCAGCCTGGCAGCCGCTGCTCCGGGCCTGGCCGCACCAGCCCCGCCTGCTCCCCCGGGCCTGGCCGCTCCCAGCCTGGCAGCCGCTGCTCCGGGCCTGGCCGCACCCGACCCGCCTGCTCCCCCGGGCCTGGCCGCTCCCAGCCTGGCAGCCGCTGCTCCGGGCCTGGCCGCACCAGCCCCGCCTGCTCCCCCGGGCCTGGCCGCTCCCAGCCTGGCAGCCGCTGCTCCGGGCCTGGCCGCACCAGCCCCGCCTGCTCCCCCGGGCCTGGCCGCTCCCAGCCTGGCAGCCGCTGCTCCGGGCCTGGCCGCACCCGACCCGCCTGCTCCCCCGGGCCTGGCCGCTCCCAGCCTGGCAGCCGCTGCTCCGGGCCTGGCCGCACCAGCCCCGCCTGCTCCCCCGGGCCTGGCCGCTCCCAGCCTGGCAGCCGCTGCTCCGGGCCTGGCCGCACCAGCCCCGCCTGCTCCCCCGGGCCTGGCCGCTCCCAGCCTGGCAGCCGCTGCTCCGGGCCTGGCCGCACCCGACCCGCCTGCTCCCCCGGGCCTGGCCGCTCCCAGCCTGGCAGCCGCTGCTCCGGGCCTGGCCGCACCCGACCCGGCTGCTCCCCCGGGCCTGGCCGCTCCCAGCCTGGCAGCCGCTGCTCCGGGCCTGGCCGCACCAGCCCCGCCTGCTCCCCCGGGCCTGGCCGCTCCCAGCCTGGCAGCCGCTGCTCCGGGCCTGGCCGCACCCGACACGCCTGCTCCCCCGGGCCTGGCCGCTCCCAGCCTGGCAGCCGCTGCTCCGGGCCTGGCCGCATCCGACCCGCCTGCTCCCCCGGGCCTGGCCGCTCCCAGCCTGGCAGCCGCTGCTCCGGGCCTGGCCGCACCAGCCCCGCCTGCTCCCCCGGGCCTGGCCGCTCCCAGCCTGGCAGCCGCTGCTCCGGGCCTGGCCGCACCAGCCCCGCCTGCTCCCCCGGGCCTGGCCGCTCCCAGCCTGGCAGCCGCTGCTCCGGGCCTGGCCGCACCCGACCCGCCTGCTCCCCCGGGCCTGGCCGCTCCCAGCCTGGCAGCCGCTGCTCCGGGCCTGGCCGCACCAGCCCCGCCTGCTCCCCCGGGCCTGGCCGCTCCCAGCCTGGCAGCCGCTGCTCCGGGCCTGGCCGCACCAGCCCCGCCTGCTCCCCCGGGCCTGGCCGCTCCCAGCCTGGCAGCCGCTGCTCCGGGCCTGGCCGCACCAGCCCCGCCTGCTCCCCCGGGCCTGGCCGCTCCCAGCCTGGCAGCCGCTGCTCCGGGCCTGGCCGCACCCGACCCGCCTGCTCCCCCGGGCCTGGCCGCTCCCAGCCTGGCAGCCGCTGCTCCGGGCCTGGCCGCACCCGACCCGGCTGCTCCCCCGGGCCTGGCCGCTCCCAGCCTGGCAGCCGCTGCTCCGGGCCTGGCCGCACCAGCCCCGCCTGCTCCCCCGGGCCTGGCCGCTCCCAGCCTGGCAGCCGCTGCTCCGGGCCTGGCCGCACCAGCCCCGCCTGCTCCCCCGGGCCTGGCCGCTCCCAGCCTGGCAGCCGCTGCTCCGGGCCTGGCCGCATCCGACCCGCCTGCTCCCCCGGGCCTGGCCGCTCCCAGCCTGGCAGCCGCTGCTCCGGGCCTGGCCGCACCAGCCCCGCCTGCTCCCCCGGGCCTGGCCGCTCCCAGCCTGGCAGCCGCTGCTCCGGGCCTGGCCGCACCAGCCCCGCCTGCTCCCCCGGGCCTGGCCGCTCCCAGCCTGGCAGCCGCTGCTCCGGGCCTGGCCGCTCCAGCCCCGCCTGCTCCCCCGGGCCTGGCCGCTCCCAGCCTGGCAGCCGCTGCTCCGGGCCTGGCCGCACCAGCCCCGCCTGCTCCCCCGGGCCTGGCCGCTCCCAGCCTGGCAGCCGCTGCTCCGGGCCTGGCCGCACCCGCCTGCTCCCCCGGGCCTGGCCGCTCCCAGCCTGGCAGCCGCTGCTCCGGGCCTGGCCGCACCCGACCCGACTGCTCCCCCGGGCCTGGCCGCTCCCAGCCTGGCAGCTGCTGCTCCGGGCCTGGCCGCACCTGACCCGGCTGCTCTGGGCCCGGCTGCCCTGGGCCCAGCCGCTCCGAGCCTGGCCACTCCCGACCTGGATGCTCTGGGCTTGGCTACTGCTGTTCTGGGTCTGGCTGCTCCCACCCCGGCTGCTCTGGGCCTGGCTTCTTCGGGCCCGGCCACTCCGGGTCTGGGTGTTCCTGGACTGGCCACCCTGGGCTTGGCCACCTCCGCCTCATGCCTGGCTGCCACTGCCCCAGGTCTGGCTACTCCAGTGCTGGCTGTTGATGCTCTGGTTCTGGCTGCTGTTGTTCTGGGGCCTGGCTGTTGCTGCTCCGGGTCTGGCTGCCACTGCCTTGTGCCTGGCCACTCTAGGCCTGGCCGTCGCTGTTCCAACATTCTGTCCTTTTTTTTTCTTTTTAAAACGCATTTATGTTGCAATGTTGGCTGGTGAGTTGAGTTCTGACTTAGTCTTTGATTTTTCAAGATCTTCTTTGTATTCTTTCTTAAGTAATTTTACTATTTTTTGCTCTCACTTGATTTCTTCACATTGAGAACTTCTTTGGTTTCTTCCTCCTTGTCCTGGGAGCTCAGCAGGTTGGCCTGTGGCACCCCTTTGTTCTCCGCGGGCTCCTGTGCTGCTTCAGCCTGTTGCTGGGACGGCGCCGCCCAGGAAGCAGCCCCCGGCCTTGGCTCCATTGCCCGAGCTCAGTGGTCAAAGGCTCAGGGGCACCCACGCCCCCAGGGGCCCCGTGGCCCGCCTCCTTGCTGGTGCCCGGTTGGCTGGAGTCCGGCAGGGGCTTCCGCTCCCCTCCGCGTTCCCCCAGCCTAGAGCTTTTTTTTTCTCCTTCCCGCTAGGGAAGTCCAGCATCAGAGTCAACAGACTGTCCTCTGCGCACAGTTTGCGCGAGTCCCACAGACTGTCCTCTGCGTGCAGTTTGCGAGAGTCCCGGGGGCCCGGCCTTTCGCCGCTCTTCCCGGACTCCACCTCACAGCCCCGTCTCCCTCTGCCTGAGCCTGGGTCCCCAGGGATTGGCCCAGAACTGGGGTTCGGAGCAGTCCGGACTGAGGCTCAGCGCCGCCGGAGGCCTTGTTTCTTCCGGCTAGGGCAACCCAGCATCAGAGTCAACATTCAGTCCTCTGCGCGCATTGCGCGCGACTCCCGGGGCCCTGCCTTTCACCGTTTTTCCGCCTCATGGCCCTGTCTCCTCCCTCCGGAGCCTGGGTCCCCAGGGTCTGGCCCATAACTGGGGCTCAGCGCTGCCAGGTTCGGGGGAGCTCAGCGCTGCCGGTTCGGGGGTTCAGCCCAGGCTGGGGGTTTTATTTCCTTCCTGCTAGGGAAGGAAAGGCGGCTCCCCGCCCTCTCCTCCTCTCCGGCTGCGACCTCTCCGTGCGCGCGTGCGGGCGGGCAGGCGCGCGCAGCATGTCTCCGTACCTTAGGCTTTTTTTCAGCTCCTCTGATTTTCTTTCTGGTTTTCTCTTTCCTTCTTGTTGTAGAAATTTCAGTCAGTCGACTACCTGTAGCTCTGGGCAATGTCCACTCTACATTTTAGTTGTATTCCATTGAAATTGTTGTGTGCTGCCACGGCTAGATGTCTACCCGAGCAGCCATCTTGGATCCTCTCTTGTAATTTAACTTTAACACTGGAATAGCTAAGTCACGTCAGCCTAATTAGGTTACTGAATTAGGTTGATTTTTAAAAAAATATGTTTTTATTAGTTTCAGAGAGGAAGGGAGAAGGAAAGAGAGAGAGAGAAACATCAATGATGAGAGAGAATCATCCATTAGCTGTCTCCGACATCCCCCCCCCCCCGCCCCACAAATGGGGATTGAGTCTGCAACCCGGGCATGTGCCCTTGACCGGAATTGAACCTGGGACCCTTCAATCCACAGTTTGACGCTCTATCCACTGAGCCAAACCAGCCAGGGCAGTTGATTTTTAAAAATTGTTTACAAAATATTTTTCTCTCAAAACTGAATTTATATTTCTGAGAATGTGGTAAAACTTCAGTTTTTAATATTCTTGATTGAAGTTTTTTTAAATTATAAACCAGTAAAACCTTTTCCGACAAGTTGGCTGGCTATACAAATAGTGTTATAATTTCACAGTTTGTACTTTGTTTTAAATTTACTCTTATGGAGGGGTGGAAGAAATTAGATCTTTGGCTTAACATGTCATTTTAAAATAATTAATTTTAAAAAATCTTACATTTGGGGTGTCAGTTCTTTTTTTTTTTAAGTTTGAGTAAAGACAGAATAGACACTAATTTTTTCTTAAACAGGGGAAGGAAAAAATCAATTTTTTATCACTTCTTTGTAGGTGAGAAGGAAACTGTTGCCTATTTCTGTGCCCACTTCGAAGAACAACTGAAAATTTACAAAAAACAGGTGGGCTTTGGTCTCTAGTAGTAACTGTTCCTTTATATTTTGAAATGATTGTGTATATTGTTTTTTTTTTAATTTCATGAAAAAAACAATGTTCTATTCATAATTAAGCAAAATGGCATTTCTCATGAAATTAAAGAACACATGTAAGCTAAGAATATTCTTAATATTTTTAAATATATATTTTATTGATTTTTTTACAGAGAGGAAGGGAGAGGGATAGAAAGTTAGAAACATCGATCAGCTACCTCCTGCTCACCCCCTACTGGGGATGTTCCTGCAACCATGGTACATGGCCTTGACTGGAATCAAACCTGGGACCTGTCAGTCTGCAGGCCGATGCTCTATCCACTGAGCCAAACCGGTTAGGGCTATTAATATTTTTAAAGAAATATTGTCAGCTATTTTAGACCATTTTTATTATTTTTAAAAATTTTAATTTTTAAAATCAGTTTTATTTTTCAATACAATTGACTAGACCAATTATTATGATTTGAAAAGTATCTAGAGTAAGAAGTAAAAGGTATCTTTCATTACCACCCATAAACTTAGTTCTACCTCTGGAAATAACAATTTGATATGTATCTTTCAGTATTTCTTCTTTGCCCACCTTTCTTATATGTTCATACAGTCATGTGGGAATGTGATCATATAAACCAAAATCAGATAAAAGCTGTTAGATGAAATACACGTTCAATAAGATGACCAGATTTCAGATACAGGATTGAGCTGGAACTGTCAATAACTAATCCATTAGCAATAGCCAGTCTGAATATGTAATGCCATAAACCTAAATATAACAAATGAAAATCTAATGTATAGGAAAAAGATTGATGCTTGAGTGGATTTTTGAAGCATAGATAGAAAATATTTCTAAAACATAATTCCAAATAAATCACATTATTATTCTATCATCGGATTAAACTGAATTTTTTCTCCTTATTCTTACAGGTTATTGTTAACTTGGTAGACCAAACAGGAAGAGAGAAAATTATCGGGGACGCTTACCTGAAGCAGGTGTTGCTCTTTAACAACGCGCACCTCACTTACGTTTCCTTCGACTTCCATGAGCACTGGTGAGCTGCCTCCTGAGACGGTTTTTTAAGTCATTTCCAATGTTGTGGTACGATGCTGCCCCAGGGACCCGAGTCTCTCTTTCTTGGGAAGAAAAACTTCTTCTCATTCTTGGAAAAGGAAGGCGTATTATTTGTTTACTTCGCTTTAATTTTCATATGGAGTTTAATTTGGCTAAAAATTTAACTTAGTTGTTCCTGAAATATTTATATTCTTTCCGTTCCAAAGTAACTTGCAGACTTAGAGTTCACTTTTCCTTTTCTCATTCAAGTAAAGAATTCCAGGAGCTCTTCCTTTCTGCATGAGCCTGAGCCTGGCAGGGTAACAGAAGCTCCTTCGTAAAAACCATCTTGCTGGCTCGTTTTCACACTTCGCTAGTGACTCTTCTTTCTCAGTGAGTAAATGCACTAGCATTTGCTCTGGGAAATCAACAATTAGTGAACCATTTTGATGATTGCTTTACCTTGTGTGTATTTTGAAAGCAAGGTTCTATCATGACCCTGGTTCTCACGTGGGTCCAGTTATCTCAGTGTTGGGAATGTGACAGGGAGAGAAGCTTTAGCTATCTTTATGTTTCAGTATATCTTTAAGTATATTTTCTTCCACATTACAGATTAGCTATAAACATTTATGTAATCACCTCTATAAATTATAGTAGTGTTAACCTCATTTACTTAAAGTAATACTTTAACTTTTCGGGCTATCTTAAATATCATATTTTAAGTTAAAGCTTTTTCTTTTGGCTTGTATTTTAGCCGCGGAATGAAGTTTGAGAATGTTCAGACACTAACAGATGCTATTTATGACATTATTCTTGACATGAAGTGGTGTTGGTATGTATTTATTTCATAAGAAATCAGTTGAGCAAACTCTTGGTCGGTGATGCCATGTGTATTTGTGTAGTAACATTAAGCATTAAGATAATAGCAGCAAGCTGAGAGAGCATTTTTGTTTTTCTAGTTTTGCTTCCCGTTTCCTATTCTCCCTGTTAAGAGAGGGGTAGGCATTAGGTATTGTAGCTTTGAACCGGGAAGAGGGGTCAAGTGGTTGGGCAAAGTGACGTGAAATGCCCGAGGACTATTCTTTAATCCCTCCTAATACTTCATAGTCTCATTTCCTTCTCCTCATTCTTGGCATCCCTAACGTGGAAGGAGGGCTTACAGGGACCTGGTCTCAGTTGTCCAGCATTTAAAATTATCAGGGAAGGATGATGATGCTCATATTACAAAGGAAGAAGAAACTGGCTAACGGACAGAAGTTTCTAGTAGACTTGAAGGCCACAGACGGCAAGAGAAATGAGCTGAGCCAGGCAGGCGGCATGTCTGTACAAGGTGGTAAAGCATAGGAGCCTGCTCATGCTAGTGTAGACGCATGTCTGCTTGGAGTCACAGAGGAGGGGAGGATGGTGTTTGGAAGTGCTTTTTGCTTTTAAATGTGCAGAAAAGCATAACCCGTGTCAGTTTTTTGCTTAGTATTTCTGTGACTTGGGGCACGTGACTCTTTCTGTCCCTCAGTTTTCTTTCCAAAATGGGGCTAATAATGTGTTCCTTGTTGAGTTACTGTATAAATCAACAGTGTCTACATCCGACTCAATAATGCCTGCACATGATGCTCTTCCAAGTAAGCTGATAACCATTGCCGCTGTTCTGATCGCTGTGCCTTAAGGAATTTTGGTTTTGAAAAACGTGTTAAAGTCTTCCATGTGGTGAAATAATCCCATACTGTTTTGAAAAGGGTTGATCAAGCTGGGGTGATATGTAAACAAGAAGGGATTTTCCGAGTTAACTGCATGGACTGCCTGGACCGCACCAACGTGGTGCAAGCTGCCATCGCACGGGTGGTCATGGAGCAGCAGGTAATTCGGAATCTGTTGGATTGTAAATGTCCATTTTTAATTTTTTCAAGTGTAAACAAGTAACTTAAATCTTTGTTCTTTAGAACATGCATGGCATAAAGCATCTTGTTGCATTAAAACCTGGGCAGCACAACCTCCACTAGAAATAACTTGAACCAAGTGGTTTTTTAAAATATATATTTCTTTATTGAGTTCAGAGAGGTAGGGTGAAGGAGAGAGAGAGAGAGAAATGTCAATGATGAGAGAATCATTGATTGGCTGCCCCCCATATGCCACCCACTGGGGATCAAGCCCACAACCCAGGCATGTGCCCTTGGCTGCAATCAAACCCAGGACTCTTCAGTTCGCAGGCCGATGCTCTATCCACTGAGCCAAGCCGGCCAGGCACAAGTGGTATTTTCTTAAGCACGCATTTCAAAATGTGAGGCCAACATTTAAAACTTTGTCAGGCATCACTGTATGGTCACTTCCATTTTCCCTCCTCGCTAGCCCCTCTCTGCTGTATTGGGAGCAGCGGGTCAGCACATTATTCTGACTGGCTTCGTGTCAGGCTCTGCCACTAGCGGGCACGGAAGGAAGACCATGAGGCTGGAGGAGAGGGAAGGGACTGGCTGCCTCTCCTGGTCAGTTTCCTGCCAGCAGGGCCGCCGCCGCCGGGCTGCTGGTTCCTTTGGCCACAGAACCAGCTCTTATTTCAGGCCCCACGTGCTCCCTCTAGTCCTCACGCTATCGGCACGTCTGCTTTAGGTCTTTGGCCTCCGATACACGAGGGATGAATTCAGAGGTGGAAATTACTAGCATGGTTTCTTGTTTTTGTTTGGTCCTAATTTTTATTGATTTCACAGAGAAAGGCAGAGGGAGAGAGATAGAAGCTTCGGTGAGAGAGATACGTCGATTGGTTGCCTCCTGCATGAGCCCCGACATGGGGTTGGGGGCAAGAGTCGAACCTGCAACCCAGGTGTGTGCCCTTGACTGGGAATCAAACCTGTAACCCTCTGGTGCACGGCTGACACTAACCATGCAGCCAGGGCTGAAAACTCCCATTTCTTTTACGTAAGGGTCCCGATCGGGTATGAACATAATTCCTTTTTCTGCAGTATATGTTTTATGCTATGGAGTCTTGGCTTATATGGAATTAATCCACCAATGTGTACATTTTAGCTGAAAAAATTAGGTGTGATGCCCCCAGAGCAGCCACTGCCGGTGAAATGCAATCGGATCTACCAGATCATGTGGGCCAACAACGGAGACTCCATCAGCAGGCAGTACGCCGGCACCGCTGCGCTGAAGGTAAGTGACTGCGGGTCATTCTGTGGCCCGGGATGGGCGTCTTTGTTTCTGAGGTAAAGGCAGGCGGCCACAGGCGGTGGCTGACTTCTCTCTGGCATGTTTGGCTAAGCCTGGGTCACACACTCATGCTGTTGTGGGGCCGGGCCAGGTGCTCCCGCAGGCGCCCATCAGAGACGGAGCTGGGTGGATGGAAGGAAGAGCACACGTGGTCTCAGGAGGGCGCTGTTGGTTTCCTGCTGTGGATGGGTCTTCCGGTTTTTTGGAGGGAGTTGTCTGTCTGGAATTGTGTGAAACACTTGGTTTTTAAAATCTAAGTAGACGAAACAAAACATGTCTGTTGATGGGATTTGGTTCAAATATGACAAATTTACACCCTAAATTTGTATCCCCATCCTGCCTTTTACTCCTCTGTAACCTTGGGCAAGTCACTTAATCCCTCTCTCAGTAGGACAATACACATTCTTAGGTGCACAAGGAACATTTTCCAGGATCACATGTTAGGCTACAAAGTCTCCACAAGTTCAAGAAGACAAATTCTACCAGAGTGTTTTGTTGTTTTGTTTTAATAATAGTGGTGTGAAATTAGAAATCATTAACAGGAGGAAAGTTGGAAAATTCACAAATATGTGGAAATTAACACTCCTGAACAAAGGAAACCCCAGCAATACATAGAATCATGAGGCTATACTGAACAATTATATGAGAACAAATTGGACAATTTAGAAGAAATAAATTCTTAGAAACCATACAACCTACCAAGACTGACTTATGAAGAAACAGGAAATCTGAGCAGACCGGAGAGTAAGAAGATTGAATCATTAAGCAAAAACCTCTCAACAAAGCCCAGGACCAGATGGTTTCACTAGTGAATTCTACCAAACATTTAAAGAATTAATGCCAATGTTTCTCAAGTTTGTCCAAAACACAGAAAAGGAGGAACATTCCCAAACTCATTTTATGAGGCCCTGATATCCCTACAAGGAAATAAAACCATAGACCACTATTACTGATGAATGTGGATGCAAAAATTCTCAAGAAAATACTAACAAATGCAACAGTATCACACACCATAATAAAGTTGAATTTATCTATCAGATGGAAGGATTGTTCAAAATATACAAATCAGTAAATGGGACATCATGCACTATTAGAATGAAAGATAAAAATCATAATCTAATAGAGGCAGAAAAAGCATTTGACAAAATTCAACATTCTTTTATGATAAAAACTCTAAACAAACTGGGTATAGAAGGATTGTATCTCAACATATTAAAGGCAATAATAACAAACCCACAGCTAATGGCATACTCAATGATGAAAACTTCAAAGCTTTTCCTTTAAAATCAGGAACAAGACTTTGGTGCCCACTGTCACCCTTCCTGTCTGTCATTGAACTGGAAGTTCTAGCCAAAGCAATCGTGAAAGAAAAGTAGAAAGCATCCATATTGGAAAGGAAGAAGTGAATTTGTCTTTGTAGATGACATAATGTTCCATATGGCAAATCCTAAAAACACTCCACCAAAAACTGTTAGAGCTAATAAATGAGTTCAATAAAATTGCAGAATACAAAACCAACCTTACGAAAATCAGTTGCCCTTCTATACACTAACAGTCTGTCTGCTAAAAAAACAAAGAAAATAATCTCTTTACAATATCACAGACCATAAAATACTTAGGAATAAAGTTAACCAACAAAGTGAAAGATAAGTATCGATACACTGAAAACCATAAGACATCGATGAAAGAAATTGAGAGCACACAAGTAAATGGAAAACTATCTCATGTTCATGGATTAAAAAAAATATTCTCAAAATGTTTATAATACTACCCAAAGCCATATATAGATTCAGTGTAATCACTATCAAAGTTCTAGTGGCATTTTTCACAGAAATAGACTAAAGCAATTTTAATGTTAGTATGGAATCATGAGATCCCCCAGTAGCCAAAGCATTTCTGAGAAAGAAGAACAAAGCTGGAGGTATAACACTCTCTGATTCCAAAGCAATATGACACTGACATAAAAACAGACACACAGATCAGTGGAATAGAAGTGAGAGCCCAGAAGTAAAGCCACATATACAACTAGTACAGCTGTTATAAGATGAATAAGTTCTGTAGATAATATTCAACAAGGGTGTCAACAGTACATTACGGGAAAAGAATAATCTCTTCAATAAATGGTGCTGGGAAAATGGAATAGTCACATGCAAGAAAGTGAAATTGGACCCCTGTCTTATATAAAAATTAACTCAAAATGGATTAAGGACTTAAATGTAAGATCTGAAACTTTACCGTTTACTCCTATAAGAAATCATAGGGAAAATGCTCCATGACGTTGGTCTTGGGAATGATATTTTGGGTGTGATTCCAAAAACGAGCAAGTAAAGGAAAGGATATAAGTGGTAGGAGTACATCAGACAGAAATCTAGGGAACTATCCACAGTCTCCACATCAGAAATGAGTGGTTTTTCAATAAATCAAGTTGAGGTTTAAAGGCTTTTTGTTTGGTTTTGTTTGTTCTATAAATTACCAAGAATGGCTTTACCTTAAAGCTCCATCTACCTGAAGGCTTGTTGCTACAAATAGTATGTTTAATTATTTGACATGCTTGGGTCACAGTCAAATACTAATAGATATTTTAATTTAACGGCATTACTGGGAATTATAAAAGCCTACAAAGTTACAGTTGTACAAGCCCACCTTGACTTCAGGAATATTCTCGTGCTTAAATAAACTGTTAATGCTTTCCTTGTCAGGGTGACTTCACCAGGACAGGAGAAAGAAAGTTAGCAGGAGTTATGAAAGATGGTGTTAACTCTGCAAATAGGTACTACCTGAATCGATTTAAGGATGCTTATAGGCAAGCTGTCATAGGTAAGAAAAGTAAAATTTGTTATTCCTTCTGTGACTGTTTTACAAAAACCAACATTAACATAGTTCATATGTTTATAATACGCGTATGCTTCTATATTGAGCATCTTACCAGATGAATCAAATTCAAATTTTCAGATTAGAACCTGACAGATTTTTTTAGGCTGGAGCAGCACAAGAAACCTCTTGTTTCCATCTGTCAGTTTGCTGTTCATGGGACAGAAAGCATGGTTGATGAAATAAGAAATAAGGGACCTTAAAACTTCATCACCTAAAAACTCCACCTTCTATTTGTTTTCCCTTACTCAAGGCTGAGAGATGTACCGAGAAGGTTTTCTTTCTCTCCATGGGTGTGGTTGAATAGCATATTAAAGAGTATTGCATAAGCCATGCTGTTTTGGATCAGTGAATAGAGCGCCGGCCTGCAGCCTGAGGGGTCCTTCCTGAGGTCGATTCCCGTCAAGGGCATGTGCCCAGGTTGCAGTCGCTCCCCAGTGGGAGTGCAGGAGGCAGCCAATCAATGATCCTCCCTCATCATTGTTTCTATCTCTCTCTTCCTCTCTGAAATAAATAACAATGTATTTTAAAAATTTATTCTAAACAATTGAATCCTGTGGTTTTTTTTTTGGAAGAGTTGTAAATGGAGGTAGATTGCCCAGAGGAATTCATGCTTTGGCATGTTTTAAATTTAATTTTTATGAAAACATTTCCTTATAGTATTTAAATAAACATATAGTATGGATTAGAACCAAATGTAATACCTGATATTTTTTAAATCCTATTTTTAAACTTGATGTTTATCATACATTAAGTAATGGGGCCTAGACACGGGCCAATACATTAAGTAATGGGGCCTAGACACGGGCCAATTAGTAGTTTGAGAAGTCTGGTGTAAAGAAGTTTGATTCATTTGCCATAGATGGGGGGGGGGGGAGGGGTGCTGACTGCAAAACTGGGTTTTAGCACATTATAACAGAAAAGTAAGATACCTTCCTTGTGTTGTTCAGTCTGATGACTCAGCTTTGTCCTTGAGGACTCAGGCTTTGTCCCTTTCTCAGTTTGATCTCTTCAGGGTTGAGACAGGCCAATTGCAGGCTGGGCTGTTGCTTCCCCTTGTAGTGATAGAGAGGCAGGTCTTTCCCAGAAGCCCCTTCCACTCTCATTGTCCCAGACAACTATAGGGAATGGGATTATAATGATTTGTTAAAGTGTAAGCCATATGCCACCTTAGGAAGAAGTTAGCTAGTCTATTTAGATCCTTTTCAAATGGGCTTATTTGTCTTTTAAAAAAAAGTTTTTATTGATTTCAGAAAAGGAGAGACAGAAACGTCAATGATGAGAGAATCATTGATCAGCTGCCTCCTGCACACCTCCCATTGGGGATTCAGCCTGCAACCCAGCCATGTACCCGGACCTCCTGGTTCATAGGTCGATGCTCAGTCACTGAATCACATCAGCCTGACTTATTTGTCTTTTTATTGAGTTGTAGGAATTCTAGATACAAGTCCATTATTAGATAGGTGATTTATAAGTATCCTTTTCCGTTCTGTGAACTGTCTTTTCACTATCATGTTATTTCCCTTTGAGATACAGTTTTTATTTTAATGATGCTCAGTTTATCTATTTTTTTCTTTTTATGATGTTAATGTCCTATTTCCCCCTAACCCCCCTCCACAAAATAAAATAACAACAAAACAACCATGTCTAATCCAGGTCTCAAAGATTTATTCCTGTGTTTTCTTAGAGTTTTATGGGTTAGGTCTTCATTCTATTTTTGGGGTTTTTTGGTTTTTTTTAATGTATTAGGAAACTAAGATGATGATAGACATTGACACTTTCTACTCTAGATTTGATGCAAGGCATTCCAGTGACGGAAGATCTTTACTCCATATTTAACAAAGAGAAAGAGCACGAAGCTTTGCATAAGGAAAACCAGAGAAGCCACCAGGAGCTGATTAGCCAGCTGTTACAGAGTTACATGAAGCTCCTGCTGCCTGATGATGAGAAGTTCCATGGCGGCTGGGCCCTCATTGACTGTGACCCCAGGTAACGAGATGGCTAACTGCGTGCTTACATTCCCGATGAGTTTTCTGTAATGAATGCTAGGACTTAGCCATACACTGTGGACATGGGTGCATGGCGCATGGCACTTCCAAGTACAGAGCTGACACTAAGGCAGGATGGCTGAGGCACTCCTCTTCGGTGCATAAGAAGCCACTAGAAACTCAGTAATGAGGAATATTTTAATGTAATAATTGATATAAAAACAATTGTAAGACTGGTTCGCTACGGGCTGCGTGGGTTTCCCCCCTCAGAATCTAGGTTTACTGTATTAATGCACATAACTCAGTGGATAGAACATTGGCCTGTGGAATGAAGGGGGTCCTGGGTTCGATTCTGGTCAAGGGCACGTACCTCGGTTGCAGGCTCTATCCCCGGCCCGGGGCACATGCGGGAGGCAGTCAATCAGTGTGTCCTCACATTAATATTTCTCTGTTTTCCTCCCTCTCCCTTCTAGTCTAAAAATCAATGGGAAGTATATTCTGGTGAAGGCTAACAACATATATATATACTAGAGGCCCGGTGCATGAAAAATTCGTTCATGGGAGGGGGGGTGACAAGGGAGAGGAGGGCGTCCCTCAGCCCAGCCTGCACCCTCTCCAATCGAGGGATGTCCGACTGCCCGGTGGGATCGGGCCTAAACCGGCAGTTGGACATCCTTCTCACAATCCAGGACTGCTGGCTCCCAACTGCTCGCCTGCCTGCCTTCCTAATTGCCCCTAATCACTTCTGCCTGCCAGCCTGATCACCCCCTAACTACTCCCATATCCAGACTGATTGATGTTTAACTGCTCCCCTGCCAGCCTTTTTCCCCTAACTTTCCTCCTCTGCTGCCTGGTCACTCCTAACTGCCCTCCCCTTCAGGGTTGATTGCCCCCAACTGCCCTCTCTTGCAGGCCTGGTCCCTTTCAACTGCCCTCCCTTGCAGCCCTGGGGCCTCCCAACTGCCCTCCCCTGCTTGCCTGATTGCCCACAACTGCCCTCCCTTTCAGGCCTAGTCCCTCCCAACTGCCCTCCCCTGCTGGCCATCTTGTGGTGGCCATCTTGTGTCCACATGGGGGCAGGATCTTTGACCACATGGGGGAAGCCATCTTTTGTGTTGGAGTAGATAGGATAGAGGCCTGGTGCATGGGTGGGGTGTCCTGGATCAGGGTGGGTTTGCCCTGAAGGGTGTCCTGGATCAGGGTGAGTGTTCCCTTGGGGCATGGGGCAGCCTGGGTGAGGGGCATGTGGTGGTTTGCCCGACGGCAACCCAAGCGGAGGTCCTGGTATCTGGGGTTCATTTATCTTCTACAATTGAAACTTTGTAGCCTGGAGCGGAACCAAGCCTCCTGCTTGCTCCATGGCAGCAGCCACTTCTGTTGGAATTTATGTATCTTCTATAATTGAAACTTTGTAGCCTGGAGTGGAGGCCTAGGCTGGCCAGGGCTGCAGAAGCTTGGCTTCCTCCATCTTCTGGGCAACCCCAGCCTCCTGCTCTTCCAGCTGCCGCCATTTCTGTTGGAATTTATTTACCTTCTATAATTGAAACTTTGTACCCTTGAGTGGAGGCTTGGACCCGCCAGGGTGTTTGGAAAGCTTGGCTTCCTCCATTGCCAGGGAAACCCAAGCCTCCTTCCTGCTCTCTGTGACCGCAGCCATCTTGGTTGGGGTTAATTTGCATACTTGCTCTGATCGGCTGGTGGGCATGGTTGGTAGATGTAGGGGGTGATGGTTAATTTGCATATTTTATTAGATAGGATTGCACTAATTTTTTTTTTTTGTTTAAAGTATTACATATATCTCCGTTTTCCCAATTGACCCCCCCCCCCATCCCACCCTGAGGGCAAGCTCCCTTCGCCCCAGTATCTAGATCTATTTTTTTTCATTATGATTGAGGTATTACATACTTGTCCTTATCCCCCCACTGCCCCGCTCATGCCTTCACCCCCCTGGTGTCTGTGTCCATTGGTTATGCTTATAGGTGTGCATACAAGTCCTTTGATTGATCTCTCTCCCATACCCCCATCTTCCCTCTCAGGTTTGAGCATCTGATTGATGCTTCTCTTTCTCTGGATCTGTTTTTGTTTGTCAGTTTATAATGTTCATTATATTCCACAAATTAGTGAGATCATGTGACATTTATCTTTCTCTGTTTGGCTTATTTCACTTAGCATAAATGCTTTCCAGTTCCATCCATGCTGTTGAAAATGGTTAAAAATTCTTTTTTTTTTTAAATGTCTTGTTTTGTTTTTTATATATTTTATTGATTTTTTTTTTTTAATAGAGGAAGAGAGAGGGATAGAGAGGTAGAAACATCAGTGAGAGAGAAACATCAATCAGCTGCCTCCTGCACACTCCGTACTGGAGATGTGCCCGCAACCGAGGTACATGCTCCTGACTGGAATTGAACCTGGGACCCTTGAGCCTGCAGGCTGATGCTCAAACCACTAAGCCAAACCAGTTAGGACAAAATTCTTTTCTAAAAATATATTTTTATTGATTTCAGATAGGAAGGGAGAGGAAGAGAGAGAGAGAGAGAGAGAGAGAGAGAAACATCAATGATGAGAATCATTGCTTGCTGCCTCTTGCATGTCCTCTCCTGGGGATGGAGCCCAGAACCCAGGCATGTGCCCTTGACCAGAATCGAACCGGGATTCTTGAGTCTGCAGGCCAAGGCTCTATACACTGAGCCAAGCTGGCCAGGGCGGTTAAAATTTATCTTGATGGAGTTCAATGGGGAGTGGGAGCAGAGAGCGGACCCCAGAGAGCCCTGAGCAGCTCTGACCCGGTTTAGTTTCCGAGAAGCAATAGGACATTCCAGCAATAAGAAATGAGCAAAAAGTTGGTGCTGAAGACTAAGTGCTTGCTTTTTGCCTGTGACCAGATAATTAGACCTATCTGCATTATCTATGCAGCATGGGAGGTTATTATTTTTATCTAAAAACTTTGTGGTAATGAATAACGTGTTTTTTAAGTGGGAGAAAAAAAGCCTGGTTTTCTCAATACACCTTTAAAGATTTTTAAATTGTTTCATATCTGGTCAAGTTGAGATTTTAAAAAAATATATTTTATTGATTCAAAATACGTTTTGTCATTTAATAAAAAAATTAATTAAAAAGATGGGTGTCAGCCGCGCATGCGCACTGGGCACTGCTCGCTGCACGCACCCGTCGTGTGCGGGGCGGGCCTGGCTTTGCGGGATCGCGGTGCCCGGCCGCTGGCACAGAGGCCTGAGCTCTGACGGGGCGGAGCCGGACGCCGGGATGCCGCGGCCCCGCCGCCAGCGCCCTCGCCCACCTCAGGATGGCGCTGCTGTCCGCGCTCACGCTGAAAGCGCCCGTGGCCTTGTTTCTACTCGGAAACCGGCCTTCCGAAGCCGCCCTTCCTCCGAGGACAGGGCTCCTGCGCCCTCGTGTCGGTGATGGCCGCATGCGGCTTCCTGCTGGTCCAAACGCTAGAACGGGGTGTCTGTGTGCGTGCGGGTGTGTGTGTGTGTCGGGAGGGGAAACGCTAGAACGGGTGTGTGTGTGTGTGGTTGTGTGTGCATGCGTGTGTGTGGGGTGTGTGTGTAGTTGTGTGTGTGTGTGGGGGGTGTATGTGTGTGTCGGGAGGAGAAACGCTAGAACGGGTGCGTGTGTGTGTGTGTGGGGGGGTGTGTGTGTGCGCGTGCATGTGGTGTGTATGGTGTGTCTGTGTGTGTCGGGAGGGGAAACGCTAGAACGGGGAGGGGACGAAGGGGGGGAGAAGGTGGCGCTGGCTTTGAGGGAAGGCCGCTCCGTGTCAGGCGGCCAGTGATGAAGACCGTGGGCTGCGGACCAGTCTGACTGCTGTAAATATTAACGCCAAACCGGAGCCAGGGCCCGGCGGCACTGGGTGGGACGCCTCTTCCCCGTTACATCGCCCGCCTCTCCGGGCCCACAGCGCCACTGGCTTCCCCGCAGGGCGGTTACCTGGGATTTCAGCCTGGCATCTTGCCTCGTTTTTTTTTTTTAGTTTAATATATTGTATTGTATTGATTTTTTACACAGAGGAAGAGAGGAATAGTGTTAGAAACATCGATGAGAGAGAAATATCGATCAGCTGCCTCCTGCACACCCCCCACCGGGGATGTGCCCGCAACCAAGGTACATGCCCTTGACCGGAATCGAACCTGGGATCTTTGTCCGCAGACCGACGCTCTACCACTGAGCCACACCGGCTTCGGCCATCTCCCCTATTTCTATTCCCCCCTCCTCCTCGGCTGTGAGAAGGGATTTCTCTTCAAACCGTCCTTCCTTCCACCCTCCCAAACCAGATGCTTCTTTAAATATCCAAATGGATAGGTTGTGTCCTACTTCTGAAATTAAATGTATACATTGATGATCCCCCCCACCCCAGTCTTTTATCACAAGTGGTTGGCAAAAATGTAGATGGAAATAAAAACATGTAATTGCCTGTGTCATGTTTGTTTAGCCTCATTGATGCTACTCACAGAGATGTGGATGTGCTGTTGCTGCTTTCTAACTCTGCCTACTACGTTGCCTAGTAAGTTGCTTATTGATTTAAAGCTTTAAATTTTGTTTTAAAATCTGAGTAAATTTCCATTCTAGGAAATTAAGAATTTTTTTTTAAAGAAATGTCATTGATACAGCTTTGTGCAGATAATTTTGTGTGCAGTGTTATCATTATAGTGATGATATAGTGATGAATTAATTATTATACAAGTGCCTCTTCACAGCCTTGCCAGAATCGAGGGTTGTTTCCCCCCAATATTCACTCTTTTTGGCTTTTTTTGTCATTGGCCTGGGTGTCTATCGGCATTGATCACATGGATTTTCCCTCTTGATTTGGATATAATTTATATACTTTGTATTCCCAAATACATAGCTTCAGTATGCATGCTCTATATTTTTTAATTTCCTTTTAGGTTAAGGTTTGTTGTTTTTTTCTTTTTTGCAAAATGTTTATAAAACAAATTATTTTTGCTGTGAATTTTAGTGAAAGATCTATAAACTGACTTTAACTATTGAACTATGTATTTCATTACATCTAACTAATGTTTAACTGCGTATTGTGCTACAGATTTTAATTGCATAGTTGTTACTATACCTCAGCTATATATGCTTCTGATTTTAATACTCTTTTTAATCCCTTTTCCTTTGTCTAGTTATGATGATGAAGTTGATAAAGTAAACCAGTACCAACGACTAAGTCTAGAAGACCTGGAAAAAATAGAAATAGGTAAATTAAAGATACTCCCCAAATCACAGGAAGCAAATGCTGTTTCTCCCAAGAGGCCACGTTGTTTATGCAGCCGGCATACCACCTTCCTAGGACCAGAGGGCTATTCCTAGTCGTGCTTTTTAGGACTCCCTTCTATTCTTTAGAGATTAGTGATGGACATAATTCCAAAAATGAGTTCTTATTTTATTGTCTTATCAAGATTAACCCAGAGATGGAGAGTTTACATATTTGAGGCTGAAGCAAACCGTCATTAATGCTTTTGTTGAGATTTGAAGAAAAAAGTGCTAAGTTACCTAATGGATGAGTGAGTTGGTCTTTTGGAGATGTGGAAGAAAGGAGATGTGCAGGATTTACACACATTCCTTTGGTGTTCAGGTCCTGAGCCCACGCTTTTCGGTAAGCCCAAGTTCTCCTGCATGCGGCTGCACTACAGACACAAAGAAGCAAGCGGCTACTTCCACACCCTGAGAGCGGTGATGCGCAACCCGGAGGAGGATGGGAAAGGTGAGGAGGTGGAATACCGAGTGGAAGCTTTCATCTGCTCTTGTACGCACAGACGGAATTGGCGCAGGGCATACCCTTACCAGCTAACTGATCCAGGGAAATAGCTTTGTGATTGGAGACCTTGAAATAGCAACTTTGTTCTCAAGATGCTTTGGGCAAGGGAACCTATGAGAGTCGTGTGTGTGGCCGGAGGGATGCAGGGCCTTTCCCACCAGGTGGTCTCGCGTGGGTAATAGTCAGGGACCATGTCTGTCTGGTTCACAGCTATACCCTTGGCATCTAGCGCTTAAATTCCAATTGATTTGGTTCCTTTGCTCTTTAATCGCTCTTCCTGTTAAAAATGGTTTTACAGCCCTAACCTGTTTGGTTGAGTGGGATAGAGCATCAACCTGTGGACTGAAGGGTCCCAGGTTCGATTCCGGTCAAGGGCATGTACTTTGTTTGTGGGCACATCCCCAGTAGAGGATGTGCAGGAGGCAGCTGATCAATGTTTCTAACTCTCTATCCCTCTCCCTTCCTCTCTGTAAAAAAATCACTTTTACAACACTGAATCAGTGGGGGAAGTACCTAAGTCCTCAGGTTCCATCGGAGATCCACTCCTACGGTGCAATTTTCACCATAAGTTGGGACCCAGCTACATAAGTACCGTGCCGCTCACATACACAGCAGTAATGAAGCTGTTTTCTGTAAATTGAAGCAAATAATTTTGTATTTAACTGAAAGACCACAAATTTCATTTAAGGTTCTGAGTTAGAGCTGCTAATTTTTTAGTATGTTTCTGGAGAAAGTGGCAAGCAGTTATATTTGGGTTTCAGATACCCTTCAGTGCATTGCAGAGATGCTGCAGATCACCAAGCAAGCCATGGGGTTAGATGTACCTATAATCGAGAAAAAACTTGAGAGGTGAGTATACTATTTTGATTTTCCCCTCAAGAATAAAGACATTACTGAGTCTTCTTTAAAAATATTTGCACAGGTGGGGGAATCACATTATGGTAATGAATTGGTATTGAGAGAAGTATCAAATTTCTGTGGATTAAAATTATGGCCACAAGTAATATACTTTTAAACTCTTAAAATATACTTAAGTGGAACACTTCAATTTAAACAACTTTGTAGAGAAACTAGCCACCATGCTTTAAACACAAGGTTTTTAATTTGGGAAAGAATGCCTATAAACATATTATTTTACATTTAAATTTTTGAGTTTTCCACCTAATGAGCATGTCCATGGTCTACATTCCTCTAGAGAAGAGAGCCATCTGGTCATCTAGAAAAAAATTGTTCAGTCTTTTGTTAGTAGAGAAAATGGTTTCCATTGTCTTTGATGTTATAATTTTTACAAAAGAATTCTTTTGTACCTGTTTTCTATATGACCACCAAGTCAAACATTCAAGATACATGTGGCAAATAGCACAATTTTCTCATTTGTACTGGTCGTGAAGGAAGCCAAAGGAGAAGCCACTAAATTTAGTTGAGTTAAATGTCCCAAATCTTTTCAGATATTTTCAGATAACCCACAGGGAACATAGGAAACAAGATTTCCCCTCTCCACCTCTACCTGAATTCAGCCCGATGGGAATGCGAGCAGACAGCTCTGGTTCCGGGGCAGTAGGTTCCCACTCATAACCAGTATTGATTTTCCCATCATTTAGGTCTGGATGTGGAGCCTCTGAAAGGGGATTAGTGTGCGTTTGGGATGTGGGTATTTGAGAAAAACTTATTCTCTGGACGCACAGAAACATGGGCTGAGGCCACGGTTGGGAGACTTCCCTTCCTCCCTTCGTTCCTGCGCTCTGCATGCCTAGAATAGCTGAGGGGAACATGCAGCAGCAAACAGTGACACCCAAAGACAATGGTTTGATCCTAAAGAACTCAACAGGATAAACCCAGTTACCAAGCAGAGTTAAAGTGCTGCAGGCGCAGTGTTCCTCAGGGGGGCCTGTGTCGCACCTGGTGGCCGGCCTGAGGCAGGCGAGGACAGAGCACTGTGGGGCTGGGGTTGCAGTCACAGCCGGACCCCGTGTCCACTCAGTGCCTGAAACCACGTGCCAGTGTCCTGAGAGCCTCCCGCTCTCCTACACACTCTGCCCACTGTCTGTTTCAGAGACTGAGCAGAAAAGAGAACAGACCTCATCAATCACCTTAGTGACTTCAAGCTGCAATGACAATACTTTGGTATATATTGGGTTTAAGTAAAATACTATTAAAATTCATTTCACATTTTTAACATGGCTATTTTCAATGACATCTACAGCTTTTATATTTCTGGACATCCTGTTTTAGTTTATCAATTAGCAATGCACTGTTTTTATAATAGAATTTTTACTTACTTTAGGGATTGGAAATGGTATGTTGAATTACACGGGAAATTAACTTTTCTCTCTTCTACTTTGTAGGAAGAGCAGTAAGCCTCATGAAGACATAATTGGCATCAGATCTCAAAACCAAGGCTCTCTGGCCCAGGGAAAAAAATTTTTAATGAGCAAATTTTCATCTCTAAATCAAAAAGTGAAACAGACCAGATCCAACGTAAATATTGGCAATTTACGAAGGCTAGGAAACTTTTCAAAACCTGAAGTGAAAGTTAATTTTCTAAAACCAAACTTGAAAGTAAATCTTTGGAAATCGGATAGTAGTCTTGAAACCATGGAAAACACAGGAGTGATGGATAACACCGTCCAGGCGGAGTCTGATGGGGAAATGTCTTCAGATAATGACTCCTACCACTCGGATGAATTCCTTACAAATTCCAAGTCTGATGAGGACAGGCAGCTGACGCACTCTTTGGAGAACGTGGGGCCAGTAGACTACGTTCTTCCCAGCTGTGGCATCATTGCTTCCGCACCCCGATTAGGCAGGTCCCAGTCTATCAGCAGCACCGATGTTAGCATTTATGTTCCTACAGATGTTACTGTTGCTGCTCGTGGAAGTGAGTTTGGAAAAGGCTGTGAGTCGCCTTTAAAAAAAAGCCCTTCTGCTGATAACATACACATACTGACCGGCTTTGCCAAGCCTATGGACATTTACTGCCACCGATTTGTACAAGACGCACAGAACAAAATGACTCGACTGTCGGAAACCAGGCTTCTTCCTCAGCAGGCTAGTGAGGAGGGAAATCAAACCGCCCATCAAGTTTCCAACGAAGAAACCCAATGTGCACCAACGGAGCAGATACCTTCTCGGCCATCTCAATTAGATGTGTGTTTTTCTGCAGCAGGCCAGCAGTTTTTGTCTGTCGAACCGGTGCATTCAGTTGTATCTCACAAGACCCCCGGCTCTGGGTCCAGCATGCTTGAACTTGAGGCGGGGCTTCAGGCAACTCCTTCTCCTTCGGAGAGCAGCAGCAGAGCAGTCTCCCCCTTCGCGAAGATTCGGAGCTCCATGGTCCAGGTCGCTAACATTACCCAAGCCGGGTTAACCCAGGGGATAAGCTTTGCAGTGGCCAAGGTTCAGAAGAGCCCCGCGGAGCCTGACGTGGTTAACGAAGTCCAGCAGAATGAACTCAAAAGTATGTTTACACAATGCCAGACACGAATAATTCAGATTTAGTGTTTAGCCATAATCCCGTGGCTTTTACTTAAAAAGAAGGGTTTCACATAGGAGGCTATGTTAACCTGCACTGACTCTGAATTTAGGGATCATAAATCCCATTTCCTGGGAAAGTTTTTAAAAGAATATGAACTTGAGCCGATTTCCAAATTTGAGAATCAGGACAACAGAGGTGCATCATCCTAGATTGTGTGGACCTGAGTAGCTTCAACACTACAGAGCTGTTTGTCTCTTTGACTGTAATTCAGGGATAGATTACTGTGGGGTATAATAACCTGAACCTTTGTGTGTGTGAAGTAGACGCAAAGGATGGTCATGGATACATTGAGGGGGTTAGCACTTTTTAAAATTTAATTTTTCTCAGTACATTTCTGTGTATTACCTCTACAAGGTAAATGCATTTACTTTTTAGTGACTTTAAAAGTGTTACTAATATGGAGAAGCATTTTAATATAAAAAACATGGTTTGGTTTTGATGGCTTAACCATTCCTTATGAAGAATTAGGGTTACTGGCATAGTTAAGAAATGTGTGCCCATTTGATCTTAATTTTCCTGCCACTCTGTACACCCCAAAGTCTAGAAGCATTCAGATCTGTCAGTAATAAAACCTGAGACATCAGATCTGAATATCAGCACCTATTAATTTTGGCGTTTTCAGGTAAGATGGTAATTGAAATTTTGTAGGCATTCCTTAACATCTTGTGTAGTCTATTAAACCTGAAGCACAATTGTGCTAAAATTGGTTTTATGACCATAACCCTGACCACATGGAAACTCTTCTATATAAGCCCATAGATTAAGAAAGTTATTCCAAACAAAATCTGGTTTATCTGGTATCTTTAGAGCCTTACTCTGTTGACGTGATTCTCAGCTAAACATTGTCTGTTGTAACTTTGCTAAGTATTTCCACTTTTGTTATTTATTAGTGATGTATTTTTGTGTGTGTGAAGTGTCAAATCGTGTGACTATTTAAAAAATAAAATACCATTGTAATTTAAAATGACAATGTATGAGAATTCCTTGAATAGCGTTTTATGGGTTAGTTTTCTGGTGATTCCAATAGTTAGATTGACAACTTCAATGTCCACGTGTATAGCAAGGGAGCAAAGGGCTTCTGAGGCCCAGGGTTCTCTTTCCTACCTGCTCACAGGGACTGGAGTCTGAGGACACAGCATCTCCTCCACGCAGGGCACAGGGGAAGAGCTGCGGTTCTCTGAAAGAGGGTTTTCCTTTCAAGGGAACTTCTCTGCAAGACCAAGCCACTTAGTACTTGTCTTTGGTAAACTACAATTCACACTGGCACAATAAACACACCGTAACTAATCTACTCTTAAATTTTATTACCACAAATCCAGGTGAGGTTTCATTTCAAAAAGTTTAAGGATGGTCTAGTCTACTAGTTATAAAAATGAAAACCAGTTAGAATACTAAATATAAACTGATAATTTACATTAGTTTATAAAAAATAGATCTGAGTTTAGGAAAAGTTAAAACAACTAATACTTTTCACTTGTTTGCTAGGCATCATAAATTCCTTCATTTTCAAGACTGACCCTGCTTCCTTGGCTAACAATGTCCGTTTAGACTTGGGGGTAGAATTTAAGGAATAATTTAACTGAACAATTAATGTTTCCAACTAGGTAAGTCACTGACTAAAAATAATTATATATAACCACAGCTTAAGTGATGTTCTAACCTCTCCAAACATTCTGGGAGCCACAATGACACTATGAACAATCATGTTAGAACTGTAACTGATCTGGGGAAAGCCTACTTAGCAGACAATGTCGATCTAATAAAGTTCAAAAAGAATTAACCTTTTTCTAAAGAGGACCTTTCTTAAAAAATAACTATTTTACTCTCCTCAAGTGAGTGCCATAAAAACAGTGGTTCCCAAATGTACTGGGGTGAAATGAGAAAAATAAGGACAATGGAGTATTTTTTCAAAAAGCTACATTTATTCCATTTAAAGGACAATCTTGTTCTAAAATTGTCCTCATGAAAAAAAAATGTAATAATACAGTGATTTGATCTTTCAGATAACGGCATCTTTGTCCATCCCAAAATTTTGGGAAATATTACTGGTCCATGAACTCTAAAAGTATGGGAACCACTGCCACATTAAAGACTATTTTTTTGCAGATTAACAACTGTTAAGTAGGGGGGGAAAAAAGCTTCTGTGGCCAAATGTTTGGGAAATCATGCGAAATTCTGCAGTATCATTTCCCAAACATCTGACCACTAAACACATTCAGATCCGCTGTTAATTGAAAAGATGTAAAAAATCTTAAGTGAACAATTCCTGAATGGAACTGCAACAATTTTCATATGAACAGAGTTTGGCCTATAACTTAGCTTCAGCTAAGGAAATGGTATAAGCAGCAACATTATCTTATCAATATTAAACTTTTAATATCAAATACAATTTTTACATTGTTACTAATTTATATAATTATAAAACAAACTCCAAAAGCTCCATAAAATCAGTAAGGTAAAAGCCCTCACTGGATATTATATAAACTTCAGGTGTTACCAGGCTTGTTTCAGGGAAAGTCCTTGGTTTTTAATACAAAGTATCTACAAAACAATGGTATAAATGATACTTGCAATTTGCAATAATGTGGCTGTAATTTGCCCCTTATTCTTCAATAGGTATCAGATGTTTAAAGTTCATTTCCATTCACACACTTCTGCTGCTGAAGCCTACTTCTTCTCAAAGACTCGAGTTGCTTTGCTCTTAGCCATCGTTCTCTTGACAGTGTTGTCTGACCAGCACTGAGAGACAGAAACCTGGTTTGAGATAAGAAACAAATTTAAGTCTAGACCTAGGAATAGGAGACAAGATCTGTGGTAGGACCACAAAGAAGTCAAGAACCAAGTCAGACTTCTACAAAGGAATCCTTCAAGTCAAATTTGGGAGATGACTCACTGTGAGAAGCAGGCCTGCTTCCACTGAAGTGGTCACTGGCCAAACGCAATTTTCAATGAGCCACTTCACAGAGGTTTTTAAAAGGAAAAAGTTCATTCCTATTTTTAAAAGTCTGCCTCAGCTATTACTAAATAAATTAGGGGCTTTATCCATAGCTTATGCTCAGCAATTAATGGACTAGTACTACTCACCGAGCGACAATGAGCAGCTGGTGGAGATCGTCGGCAGTGATGCTCTGAGGATCATTCTTGCGCATTTCCACAAAGTCGTCTTCAACTGCCTTTATCAAAAGAGGGAATGCCATTTGCATTGAATTGGGAAAAGGAAACTAACATGGTCCCTGCACTGGTGTAAAAATGAAGTCAGCCCTGCTTTTTAGACAAATGAGATAACATGGATGAAAGGACTGAGAACCAAACTTAATATACACAAATGGCGTTACTGATGCAAGTATTCCAAACAAGATCAGGCAAACACGCCTGTAAATACAGGGAAGATGATGTCAGTAAAAATGGCAGAGCAAGGACCTCAGAAAATTCTCTCCATTAATGGGAATAAGCTCTAGTAAAAATGATCAAAATCTGCTTCATCAAAATTCTGGAGATTGCCAGAGGCTTGCAGCAGTCTGAGGAGCGTTCCTTAGGAAAGGCAGCGAGAACACCGAGCTCTGAGGAACCTAACTGCCATTCCCCATCTTCACCCCCGCCCAGGCAGCCTGAGAATGGCAGCCTGGCAACCACCGCAGAGGGTAGCGGGGCTGGAAGGCTTCCCAAGCACCACTCAGAAAGGGTCAGCCTTTGACTGGTGGTTCCTGGAAGAACCCGTTTGTAAGGTTGTCTTTAACCGGATGTGGGGCTTGTCCAGTGTGAACAGCTTCTTCTCCCAGGGCATTTAAAAAAAGTCACAAGCTATTACATTCTTGGCTGCTGCAGGCACTGGCTAACCAAATTCCTTAAAAGGAAAAACAGGGAATGATAATAAAGCACCAAGGGAGAAAATGAGATTGTAAAGGAGCAAAGTTTTGGGTACTACTGTGAGTAAATTGGCATTCATCTCCAAATGATGGTTACTGTTAAGAGTTAATTGTAGCCCCCAGGGCAACTACTAAGAAAAAAATTATAAAAGACATGGAAATTCAAGTTGTGTACTAGAAATATCTACTTCAAACAAAAAGACATGTAGAAAACAAGTGGCAAAATTACCTAATCAGTAAATACAATAAATGTAAACGGATTAAATACGCTAATCCCAGACAGACCTTGGTTATTTCGTCAGAGATGCTGTAGTCCAGGAACCGCAGCAGGGTCAGATAAATTCGGAACTTGTTGAGTACAGAGGGCAGCACGGCTGAGAGAAGGCTCTCCATGTACTCCTCCATGTTCGGGGGAATCAGCTGTGGCTGTAAGTGGATCTGGCAATCTGCCTGAAGAGAAACAGTGCACAGTATTTTCCAAGTTCTTAAATTAATCTAAAATTTCAGAATGGATGCATCATCTCTACCAGATCCTAAGAGAATTAAAAACACTATTATTGGGGGGAGATCACTTTTTAACATTAATTTTTACACACTTTATCTACCTCAACAATAATTACAAAAGTTGGCCTTTTCTTGGTTACTCGTTTCCTCACCAGTATCAGCAAACATCTAAGGCAGCCAGCCTCTGAAAAGCAGCTAATTAAAAGGTTTCAGATGTTTTCTTAACCATAGAATATGTATTCCATATATTAATCATTCTTTCCCACGGAAAGCTTATCAAGGGCCATTTCATCCTCATTCACAGGTAGTTTTCTCAAACCACAAGTGAACGCTATCATACAGAGAAACTTGATGCCTTTGGAATAGCTATTTCCGATTAGTAAGAGCTGTCAGTCACACTGATGATTTACCAGAGCATTTCACCATCCAGCAAAAAATAATCAGCAGATGGATCAGGAACACTTTAAAGGCACGCTGAAATATTTCTCACACAGATCGGCACAAGGCAGTGGGACAGAGGCAGGAAGAACAGAGGTGTGGGTGTGAATCAGGAAGTTACTGACAGCTTCTACTTTCTATACCAACAGCTTTTTTCGCTTGTCTTGTGATTTGCTGATAACTGATTCTTCGTAGATCTAAGTTTTCATCCCAAGGCAGAAACAAAATAATTCCCTTATTAGTAATCAGCAGCTACAATTTTGAAACAAGTTTAACTTAGTAATATGCAGTAATCAAGAGACAAAAAACATATAAATATATTTCCAATATAACCTCCCTCCCTTTAAAAAATGACTCATCGTACGGGTAGGAGTGATCTCCCCTCCGAAGTAATCAAAACATTAATATTGCAAGGGAATTCCATCTGGTGGTAACTGAAATCATAATCCACCTTCTGCCAAGTTATTAGGTTGCTCAGGGCCGTCACGTTATGCACACCTAGAAAAGCAGGAAAATAACTTTTCAGTCATTTGATTTTAATCACCTAAACAAATCAGTTTTACTGACACTGATTATAAGACAGGAGGTTTCTTCTGCTTTAAAACAGTATGTAAGGCACTGTCCAATTTACTATGCTAAGTGTTCATTAGGTAATACTTCCCACGATATCTGATACCTAGCATCTGGTATGCAATTAGGCAAAAAATAGGTGCCCAATTAAATATGATTACTTTCTAGGTGGTGTGTTCCAGAGGGCTAAAACAGGATGGTAGAACTGAAATTATCCTTATCCACAGGAATGAGGTTACGGAGTTTTATTGATTTGCTACCATATACTTTTGCCCTATGTGTACCCAGTCAACACGGTTTCTAATTCTACCTTTTCCTCTTGAACTTAACACCAGCATCATGTCACCTGAGCACAGGTAAAGCTATCTGCTTAATTTTATTTTTATTTTTAACATTTTTTGCTATTTATTTTTTAAAATATATATTATTGATTTTTTACAGAGAGGAAGGGAGAGAGATAGCTAGAAACATTGATGAGAAACACATCAATTAGCTGCTCCTGCTGGGGATGTGCCGCAACCAAGATACATGCCCTTGACCAGAATCGAACCCAGGATCTTTCAGTCCGCAGGCTGACGCTCTACCACTGAGCCAAACCGGTTTTGGCATGTTTTTATTTTTAGAGAGAGAGGAAGGGAGAGGGGTAAATAGAAATATCGATGAGAGGAACATCATAGGTTGGCTGCCTCCTGCATGCCACTATTGGAGACTGAACCCACGACCTGAATGTGCCCTGACGGGGCTCGAACAGTGACCTCTTGTTCCTGGGTGGAAGCTCAGCCGCACCAGCGGGCCCTTGTAATTTATAATGCTCTCTAACTGGGCTTAGTGCACACCATCTGATCTACTAACTTTTTATTTTTTTCAGAGATGCTTTGAAATAAAAATTTTAAACTTCATATTGGGCAGTAAAAGTTTTATTACATCTATTCTACACTTTTTTTTTAAGGTAATATATGACTAAAGGCAAAACCTCTTTTTATCTTTGAAGCTATTCACTAATTGTTCTATCATTGTTAATTTGGTGTAAACTGTAAATTTCCATATAATTATAACAACACAAAGTTGATGTACACAACTTGCACTATATGCTTTAATTAAATTCACATGGCAAGCCTTTCCCTTAAATGTTTCTGATGTGGGTCTGTTCAGTTATTACTTTAAGAGGTCACCGCAGACCTGGCTTTGACAGGAGGCGGCAGAGGGAGGGAAGCGCCCGCGTACGCACCTGGGGTGTCGAGCTGGCCTTGCTCCAGGAGCGTCTCGTCGATGACCAGGGACGTGTTGCTGGGCAGCTGGAGGAGCCCGCTGACCAGGCGATTGGCCGTATAGTCTTTGTGGGGAATGAATTTCAAATGGTTCATGTTCTCTATCGTCATCTGGAGACGAAAAGACTACAAAGAGAAATTTTTAATGAGTACGGAACTAAGTTTCCTGTTTTAAGAAAACATTTGGAGTTAAACACTGTTTATATGGAAGGAACATATCAACTCGCAAGAGGAATCTCATGGTTTCTTGAGCCCTTTTAAGCAAAACAATGATCTATTTCCTAATTAAGAATTTCACTGACTCTGAGCTGCTTTATTCTCAACTGTCTTGCTGTGTATTCTTGCAGATTCTTATTTTACCAGCGAACCAAAAACAAATTCCAGCAGCTTAAGTGCACAGGGCAACAAAACGGAAAATAAAATGCTTCTTTACTCATCAAGCTGGGGAGATGCACTCGCTGAACTTAAATCATATCCCTTCACACCCTACAGATTCTTGAACAAACTGTTTCAAGAAAAACCAAGAGCAGAGCACACTGAGCTGTGCTAGGCGCTGTCTCATTCTTGGCCCCACCGGCTGCAGCCGCCTCCTCATCCCTCTCAGAGCCCACCACTGCACTGCCCTCTGCACCCACTCCACACTCCACTCTGCTCCTCTCTCCGTCGCCTGAACGGCAGGACTGTGGCGGGTGTGGGGTGCGTGAGGAACCCAAGCAGTTCTGCTCTGACTGGAGACAATTCGGACATGAAGCTTGAAACAACTGGAGAAGGGTGTCGAGGAAGAGATAAAGTATATTTTTAAAATGGAGGGGATTTTTGTATTTTGGCTTTGTTGAAGTCAGAGAAAATGAGGGAGGCCACATTACAGACACAAGCAAACCCCCGCTGAGAGCAGCTTCTTGTCCACAAAGATGGCTGTGAGCCCGAAGATGGCCCCGCCCCACATGAGCCCGTTCCTCAGCCTGGGCCTGCCGTGAACAAGATGTAAAAAGCAAGTGTTCAGAGGCACACGAAGCAGATCAATTCCACAAGCACATTGGCCTCAACTGAGAACAATTTTGTGAGAGTAACTGCAATTGGGCTCGGTTACGTTTCTAGAAATTGCTGCTAAGGCAACAAAAGTGAATGGTTAGGGGCGAGCACATTTTAAGTTATAGAGCCCGGCAGGCTTTGCTTCCTAGTAAAGACATCTATTAAACCTCAAAGATAAATAGTTGGGCTGATTGTGTGCTCAGATCTGTAATATGTATTTATAATGAACTTACTGCTGGAACAAGATGTTGAATAATTCGATACAAGTGTTCTGTGAAGGTGCTATTCCGTGGGCAACCACTCAAGTTAACTGTAAATTTTCCTAATGGAAGAACGTCTCTTCTTGTATATCTAGAAAAAAAAAAAAAAAAAGAAGATATTAACCAATAAGATACCCTGGTGATTTCCACCAAAAACAACATGGGAAAATTAGCTTACAGTATCACTAAAAATAGATTACTCTGAAGTTATTTTATTTATCAGAGTAACAGCAATAAAAATAACAGCCAGTACTTACATGAGTGCGGATTAAGTGCCAGGGACTGTTCTGAGTGCTTAAATGCTTTCTCATTTAATCCCCAAACACTCTGAAGTAGGTACTATTACCTTTGTTTAACAGATGAGAAAGTTTAGGTAACAGGAAGTAGAAGAGCTAGGATTTGAACATAGGTGGTTGGTTCCAGAGTCTGTGCTTGCAACCATTACATATCACTGTGTCAAATTCTATTCGAGCAGGGACTTACAGCACAAAGATGTTTACTGTGGTGTAGTTCAGAATAGAGAAAAAATAGGAAAACCTAACATTTAGGGAAACAGTACAACTGCCTACAATGAAATATTTTACAGACAACAAAACTGGTTTGGGTCAGTGGTAGAGCGTCGATCTGCGGACTGAAAGGTCCCAGGTTCGATTCCGGTCAGGGGCATTGTATTGGTTGCGGGCACATCCCCAGTAGGGGGTGTGCAAGAGGCAGCTGGTGGATGTTTCTCTCTCATCGATGTTTCTAGCTCTCTGTCTCTCTCTTCTTCTCTATAAAAATCAATAAAATATATATTTTTTAAAAATTAAAAAAGAAAAAAAAGAATGCAAAAAGGATAAGACAGTTCATTTTACTCATCAGCCAGGTCCTTTATCTGATACTAGAGGCTCAATGCATGACATTCGTGCAAGGGGCTTGCCCCTCGCAGCCTCGTCCGGACAGTTGCTCTGCTATTCAGTCTAATTAGCGTATCAGCTCTTTATTGCATAGCCCTTAAATTTAAATTTAAAAAGCCCTTAAATTTAAAAAGAACATCAAAATGCTCAATGTGAAACTGAGAAGAGATGGAAAAAGGACTCTGCCGTTAATTTGGTCTAACATTCATTACAAATGAAAACCACGTGATGATGAAAGCCTCAGAAACCTTCCTCTCTTTCCCCCTTTCAACAAAGCACCAGCTGTCGCCATCCCCACAGGAACATAGCACTTACACTGTAGAGATGAGATGTAATATCAGGTATTCAGCAGCCAAACTATCTCCCAAAAGGGCATGCGTGAGGAACCCAAGCAGTTCTGCTCTGACTGGAGACAATTCGGACATGAAGCTTGAAACAACTGGAGAAGGAAAGGAGACCTGATTTAGAATAAACACAGCAGTTCCTCTCGAGTGTTTCAGGTTAAAAAGGTAACTACGGAATAAAACCCACTCCAAGTCAGTATATTGTCCAGACTGTAACGAAGAGCATTAACCTAAAGAATAATGGGGCAAAGAACCAGTGGCCATTCTGACCAACAAGAACCTGACTCAGTTTCCCCAAGAGCACACATCACAGGTGGCCCGACACACATTGGGACATCTGGGTCCTGGGCGTTGGCACTTACACTTACAGGTTTTGCTCTCCTCTTTGTTCAGGGAGGCCGGCAACAATGGGTTGATGTGTTGCAACTTCTGGGCTAAAACCACATGAATTCTTGGCACCAGCGAGGCGGGAGGACTGTGCACCCTCTGTTCTTCGGCCGTGTCTGCGCATTCCATCGGGTCCAGGAGTGACGCAGCGTCCCTGCGGAGAGGGACAGCTCTCAGATACGCCCGTTTCAGAGATGTAACAATAACGTACATCTTTGGGAAAAAATGAGAATTCAAGCCAAGAACAGTTTTACCTGTACATCTTTAAAACACACACACACACACACACACACACACACACACACACACACACACAACAAACAAAAGGGAGAATGGCTCTCCCTTCGTTGCCTCACACATTTCAGGCTGGGCGGGTCATGTTATGGTACAACGTACTCATCCCTAACTCCAAGAAGAGTGGTGTTTGTACTTGGTATGCTGTCACCTGACAATGGGATATCGTTTGTCTACTGACTAGGTCATTTCAAAACACAGACTTTCTTGAGCTACCAGCTGGAACATCACATGTCACAGAAGATCTCAGAAACCTGGGTCTTTTTCTCAAAAGCCATCAGGTATCTATTATTCATTCTATTCTATCTTGTTAATTATTAGTCATAAAAAAAAAAAAAAAGAACAGAAAGACTCACCTTTCATCGTTGTTCAGTATACTCAGCACGGGATCCACAGAGAGGATGCCATATAACTCAAGAACATCATTCACTTTGAAACAATCCCCATCTTCATAGACCTAATGGGAGGCAACATGACATCGTGTTGTTAGGACTAAATAACACCGACAAAGCAGAAGGTATTAGTCGTGAAATAAATAGTATCAAAACTTTAGGGAGAGAGGAATAACCCTTTTGCTTCACAAATTGAGGCCAAGAGAGGCAAGTGCTTGCCTGAAGTCATTCTTCTAGTTAGCAAGTAAGTTAATTAAAATGGAGGAACCCTGACCAACACGTTTTCAACATAGCACACTACAAAGAGGCTTTCCCCAAAGGATGGTTATCAACAAAACCAGAAACATGCATAATCTCAAAATCTATTGCCCATATCAAAGACGGGGAAACATAAAAACAGGGTTAAGAGGTTAACAAAAACTTAGATTGGCCATGAGGTCTTTCACTATAAAAAAAAAAAAAAAAAAAAAAAAAAAAAAAAAAAAAAAACAACTTTCAAAGTTGTACACCATGAAGGTCTTCAATAACTGTCACAGCCCCGTATAGGGGAAACCCACTATCAGGACAGCAGGAGAAACACTGGGGGGTTCTGGTCCTCGGTTACAGAAGTGTCATTTTTAAAAAAATATATATTTTATTGATTTTGTACAGAGAGGAAGGGAGAGAGACAGAAAGCTAGAAACATCGATGAGAGAGAGTCATCGATCAGCTGCCTCTTGCACACCCCCTACGGGGGATATGCCCGCAACCAAGGTACATGCCCTTGATCGTAATCGAACCCGGGTCCCATCAGTCCCCAAGCCGACGCTCTATCCATTGAGCCAAACCGGTCTCGGCCAGAAGTGTCATTAAAGCACGTGTGTACGAAAGCTTACCTTCACGAGGCACGCGGGGCCCTTCTCCCCTGGCAGTGGGAAGTTCAGGTCAAAAGGAGACGAGAGGTCCAGGGAGCTCAGCTGCTGTCCGGCAGAAGCTTCAGTTTCCAGGCGTTTTGGCTCGCCACACCCCTGAAGCCCGCCGCTCCCTGCGTCAGAGGGAAGCAAGCATCGCACTCAGTCTTTGTAGGGCGCCCTGCAGATAGAGGCCCTGCCTCAGGGGCGCTTCGCGCTTGAAGGAAAGGATGCTCCTGAGCTCACAAACTTGATAGTTTTAAGGAAATGACATCTCAGCAAAGCCCTTTCTCTGACTTATAGGTGGAACACAGATTATTATAATCTGGAAAATTTAATCACTGTTTCTCCTACAGTCAAATGGCAACAAATCCCCCCCATCAGATTCCAGGGTAAGTATTTTAAAAAGTTAACAGAGCCACCTGGTAGAACAGCTTCCTACTTCGAAGCAGATTAAACCAGAGCCATAAACTCACTCACCAAGCAGTTATCAACATCCACTATGTACCAGGAATCATACTAGTGATCGGGGATACAAAGATGATTAAAAGAGGGGCTCAAGCCTGGAAATAATCGGTTTAGGGCCGATAACTAATTAGAATCAATATATAGCCTACCACACCACAGGATACTGCTCAGCAATAAAAAGAAATAAACTGCTGACACACAACAGCTTGGATGGATCTCAGGGAATGTTGCTGAATGAAAACTGTTGATCCAGCCGAAACTGGTTTGGCTCAGTGGTAGAGCAACGGTCTGCGGACTGAAAGGTCCCGGGTTCGATTCCGGTCAGGGGCATGTACATTGGTTGCAGGCACATCCCCGGTAGGAGGTGTGCAAGAGGCAGCTGGTCGATGTTTCTCTCTCATTGACGTTTCTAGCTCTCTCTCTCCCTTCTTCTGCAAAATATCAATAAAACATATATATTTTTAAAAATGTTGATCCACAAAGTTTACCTACTGTCAGTTTTTATTTTTATAACATTCTTGAAATGACAGTTATAGAGATGGAGAATAGATTAGTGGTTACCAGGGGTTAAGGACTTGGGGATGGACAGCAGAGGCAGGAGAGAGGTGGGCATGCTTATAAAAGGGCAATATAAGAAGTCAAGTACATGCCGAAACCGGTTTGGCTCAATGGATAGAGCGTCGGCTTGGGGACTGAAGGGTCCCGGGTTCGATTCCGGTCAAGGGCATGTACCTTGGTTGCAGGCACATCCCCAGTAGGGGGTGTGTAAGAGGCAGCTGATCGATGACTCTCTCTCATCGATGTTTCTGACTCTCTATCTCTCTCCCTTCCTCTCTGTACAAAATCAATAAAATATATTTAAAAAAAAAAAAAGGAAGTCAAGTACCACTTGTCCCATATCTTAACTGTAGTGGTGGGCACATGAATCTACGCGTGTGATGAAATTGCAAAGAACTGAATATGCGCACACAGATGCCTGTAAAGAATGTGGATTCTGAAAAAGGTCAATGGACTGTATCAATGTCCACTTCCTGGTCATGATATTCTGCTATAATTATACAAGGTGTTACCACTGGGGGAAATGGGTCAAGAGTATACAAGATCTCTCTGTATTATTTCTTACAACTGCTTGTGAATCCACACTTAACCTCAGAAAAAGTTTAAAACTATTTATAGCCTAAAAGACTGCCTAGAAACCAACAAGTAAACTTTACATAAATACTGTATTCAAATAAAAAACTAAAAGCCCGGCAGTATGACATTCAAACAATCAGACAAGAAGCAGATGTGAGAACCAATTGTTTAAATGAAAAGCATTACCAAAGACCTGGATTTTACCTTTATTGTTATGATACACCACTAATTTCAATAACCATTTGGGGTTGGTGGAGAAAAATACTACATTTATATATGTTTACTGTAAAACATTAAAATTTTGAAGACATTAAAATATTCCTTAGCATTAAGGAAAGACAGTAATATGAACTTACCCCATATAATAAAAGGATAATATGCAAATTGACCAAACGGCGGGACAACTGGTCTCAATGATGTACGCTGACCACCAGGGGGCAGACACTCAATGCAGGAGTTGCCCCCTGGTAGTCAGTGCGCCCAGTACTCAGCAGAAGCTGGGCTGGTGGCTGGCAAGCGCAGCAGCGGTGGTGGGAGCCTCTCCCGCCTCAGGCCATACTAATGATGTCCGACTGTCCCCCGAGGGTTCCCAGACTGTGAGAGGACACAGGCCCAGCTGAGGGACACGCACCTCCCCTCCCCCTGCACACACAAATTTCGGGCACGGGGCCTCTAGTAAAATACGAGAATATATTGTAAATGAAATTCATTAGTAACTTTTTGTTTATAAACTGACTCGTATTTGCCCTCTTGACCCAATCATACAGAGATCAATAAACTAAATTTGTTTTCCTTCCTCTCTCTTTAACGTGCCCTCTAATTAAAGGTGCTGAAGAAAAATAACTGAACATAAAAGGAGAAATAAAGACAAACTTATCTACCTGGCATAATAAAGAAATTCACCATGCATAAAAACTATGGTGAAATCAATAATGGTATACCAATTCTGACATTCCCTCATGCCTTTAGAAAATTTTCAACTTCTTGTCTCCTTGTGAGCATACACTACCTGTCTGTTTGGCACCCGTATGCTGCTCTTTCTGTTTGTTAGGCTGCAGGTCCATGTCTTCGTCATCTTCATAACTCCTCTTGTGACGACTGGGAGTGTAAGATGTTGAAGGACTGACTCGAGCTTGGTTTGCATTAATATAGGCGTTAAACAAAAGGTTAAGGAAAAGACCACTATGTACTGAGGATTAACCTACGTTAAGTTAATTATATGACTAATAAAAGATTGCTAATTTGGCAATTTGCTTAAAATTAAAATTTTTTTTAAAGGCTAGACTTCCAGATTTGGTCATGAAAGGCTACTATTAAGCTTAATTTATGCCCCCTACTACTGCTGCTGTAAAGAATTGTAAAACTGGACAAAAGACATGAAGCAGCTATTTCTCTTTTTCGTTTGTTTTGTTAATCCTCACTCCGCCGAGGACATTTTCCAATGATTTTCTTAGAGAGAGTGGAAGGGAGGGGAAAAGATGAAGAGAGAGAGAAAGATCGATGTGAGAGAGACACAGCAATTGGTTGTCTCCCACACCTGCCCCAACCAGGGCTGGGGATCGAGTCTATAACCTTGACTGGAATCGAAGCTGGGACCCTTCAGACTGCGGGCTGATGCACTATCTACTGAAACAAACCGGTTAGGTCTGTTGTCTATCATTAGACAACAGGGAGCATAAGGTTATGATCCTTGACTGAGCAATATAACGGGTGAACTCCACTTTATCCCATCTCCCTCTAAGGGGCATTTTCTAAATCGCAACAACAAAGAAGTGGAGAGACATCTCTTGCTGGGTAGAGACAACATAGTTCAGGGCTATGGGTATAAAAAGCTCTGGTATTGCAGACAGGGACCGGAGGGGAAGGAGTTCCCTGCCGAAGACAGAAGAGGACCCGGAAATCTGTGCAGGTTCCCTCTGGGTCTCTGGCTGAGTACAAAAGGGTGGATTCCTTGAGGTCTAGCAGAGAACAGCTGCTTGTTGGCTAGGAGCTAAACGAAGGTTCTGGAAGTTGCATAACACTAGAACTGGACCCC